AATTTGCCTCTGACTCATTTCTGGAATAGATTTGGTCAACTCGCAACATCTCTACGTGAGTTTGCCATTAAGACAAACAACAATAAACATTTAAGAGAAAAGAGAATGATCTAGAAGGTCATTTTAATTAAGGGAAAGATAGCTGAGGAGCTGAATGTTGAGTGACTCACAGTGTCACCAGAGTACAGACTATTGGGGAGTACCATCCTCACAATCAAAGCCCACCCATCACCGCCGTCCCACCAAGAGTAACGCAACCCGACTGTGGACCTCCTGTTGACAAAAATGTTGGTTCTGAATCTATGCCCTTCCGATCTAATGTCCCTTTGAAAGGCCACAGGGAGCAGAGGAAAGGGAAACAGATCAATCTAGAATGTAGGAAGTTGGCACAACAGTTGCCCCTGCTGTCGGCAACTTGCCTTGTATCTAGGCAAGTGTTACACTGCTGGGAGAAAAACAGCCAGTAGCTGGCAGGCATTCTAGGCCTGGTTAATGCCAAATTTGTGTTAACTATACCAGTATGCCAGTTTAGTTGCTTATTCTACATTTTTCAAAAGGTAAGTGGGGAAGGCAGGGAACTCCCAGCTGGAATCCACCATCCCAACCCTGCTTGGCATGGTCTGCCCTCAGTCCCAGCCTTTGCATGTGCCAACAGATGCCCAGCCTTCTCCAAGCCCCAGTTCCCACAAGTGTCATATTGGCTCCTGTCAGTTCTGTGCTCCAGCTTGGCTCAGCCTGTCCCCACCCCCATTCTCCGCATAAACAGGTGGGTGAGGCCGTCCCACAGAGGCAAGCCCACAATTCTCCTACAGGATCCGCCCTCAGATCCAGTTCTGTCATGTTCTGGTGGGTGCTGCAGCCCTACCTGACACTTACCAACAGGTACTGCAGCCTAGCTCAGACAGACATGTCCCCAGGTCCAGTTTTCAGATGTGCCAACAAGTGGCGAATGCTATTCAGCCCAACCTAGGTCTCTCATGCGGGTGGGTGTCTTGGGCTCACCTCTGGGTTTTCCCCCTTTAAACCACTCTGCCTCGGCTCCCTCACCTACCTGCAAGTGCAGTGACATGGTCTGTGGAAGACTCCCGGAAGTCATTTCTCCACTATTAAACATGCTCTCAGCCACTCCTACTCCGGTTTGTGCCCAGAGCCCCTAATCCGATATGTTCCCCAGGGGATCTGTAACCCACCTGCCTACCCCAGGGTTGGGATGGTGGGTTCCAGCTGGGAGTTCCCTGCTTTTCCTACTTACCTTTTAAAAACATAGAAAAGCAATTAAGTTGGCATACTGCTATAGTTAACACACATTTGGCATTAACCAAGCCCAGAGCGCAAAACCCAGAGCCGGGAATGGGGCTGGTGGGGAACTCTGGGGACTCCCCTGCTAGGCTCCAGCTCCCACTGGCAAAAGCAAAGACCATGGCTGTGGGCAGTGAGGTTTCCTGGAGGACTTTCCCAGCTAGACTGCTACACTAGGACCCCGGCCACAGGGAGAATCACAAAACGTGTGGTCCAACCTTGGAGTGCATGTGTCAGGACTGGGCCTCCTCAGTTGCTGATGCCTGTGCAGTGGACACCGTGTCCAGATGCACAAGGCAGAAATGACAGCCAGCTCAGCTAGGCTGGCAGGGGATATCAACTCCCTTGTCAGAGAATGGAAAGCAGAACAGGTTGAGCTACTTTCCTGGCCAAGCTTTGTGGCAAGTCTCTGTCTTTGGATGCTCTAAGGTGAAATTTGTCACCCATAGACTTTGGAAAGATTTTCTCAACCCTGGAGCAACAAAACCAGCAACTTCTCAGAACTATCATATCCACTGAAGTGGCACCCTCAGAACACTGTTCCCCACATCGGGGCTCTCAAAGACGTCATCAAAAGACCATCCCCACCCCTGGGTGCTGATGAATTCTGACAGTATGGAGCTCCTCCTGTTCCACAGGAGGGAAAAAAGAGAACATTTGTCCCACCACCTTCCTCAGGACCTGACCCTGTCCACCCTAATCAGAGGCCCGCATGGGCATGCATCCCCCTCGGCTATATTTTTAATAATAATAATTTTTTAAAACAGAACCATTGAATATGTTTCAAGTCCAAAGAGGGGAAAGAAGATGTATCACATATACTCAAGGCAGAAACACTTTTCCATTCCAAAGTACTTAAGGGCCCAGGGTGGTAGTCTAGCGGCTAAGTCCTTGCCTTGAATTTGCCCAGGATCCCATATGGGCACTGGTTCTAATCCTGCAGCCCTGCTTCCCATCCAGCTCCCTGCCTGTGGCCTGGGAAAGCAGTGGAGGACGACCCAAAGCCTTGGGACCCTGCACCTGCGTGGGAGACCCGGAAGAGGCTCCTGGCTCCTGGCTTTAGATCAGCTTGGCTCCGACCACTGCGGTCACTTGGGGAATGAATCATCAGACAGATCTTCCTCTCTGTCTCTTTTCCTCTCTGTATATCTGCCTTTCCAATAAAAATAAATAAATCTTTTTAGAAAGTACTTAAAATAAAAACACAAAGCCTTGGAAGTGAAGATGCCCACCTGCCACATTCAAGTGCTCGGACTCGGCTCTGGCTGCTGACCCCAGCTGCCCACCCAGGGAGCCACTTGCAGTCAGTTGAGATGGCTCAGCTAGAGTGTTCCTTCCACTCGTAGGAGAAACTGAGTCGGCCTCCTGACTTTGACCTCTGGGTGGTGAACTAGCAAATGGAAAGTATACTGTTTGTTTCTCAAATGCAAAAATAAATAATTTAAAGAGAAACAGAGCCTCTATCACCAAAGATAGCCAGGTTGGAACATGATAGATTAGGCAAAACCCATGCAGCCAATAGATACCTAATATTTAAAGTTTTAAAAAGTCTGAAAGGCAGAGAAAGAATTCTACATATTAGATCACTGTCCCAAAAGCCTAGGACAGCCAGGAGTCCAGAGCTCAGTCCAATTCTCCCAGGTGGCTGGCAGGGAGCTCGCAGGGTGTACTTCAGGGAGCTAGCACTGGAAGTGAGACTCTGGGACCAGAATCTGGGCAGGCACCAATGGGAGATGTGGACATTCCAAGCAGGATCTTCACTTCCCATCCAGCTCCCTGCTTGTGGCCTGGGAAAGCAGTGGAGGACGGCCCAGAGCACTGGGACCCTGCACCCATGTGGAGAGACCCGGAGGAGGCTCCTGGCTCCTGGATTTGGATTGGCTCAGTTCTGGCCGTTGTGGCCGCTGGGGAGTGAACCAATGGATGGAAGATCTTTGTCTCTCCTTCTCTCTGTAAATCTGCCTTTTAGTAAAAATAATCTTTAAAAAAATATATATATATATATGTAAACTGGTATCCGTGCAGTAAGGAGCTTTTGTAAAACACAGCTTTACCAACTGGGAGTTGTAGGAAGGTGCTTGTAAACATCTGTGAAAACCTGAGACTAAAAACAGAAATTCAGAGCAAAGCTCTGTTGTGAGGCCGACACCCTACATTGAAGCGCAGATTCCAGTCCAGCTCCCTGCCAGTGCATCCTAGGAGGAGCATTGATGATGGATGATGGTTCAGGTGCCTGGGCCGCCGGTCCCTGTTTTAACATGTAGGCTCTGCTGCAGGTGGAATTAGACTTGCTGAGGGCACACACCTTCCCCACTGCCGAGCCAGGCAGAAGCACTTTCCTCCTGGTTTCTTGTTCTTCAGGGTTATGAGAATCTGCAATCAGGGGGCGAGCAGGCACACAGCATAGTGGCCGAGATGTCTGCATCTCCTGCTCTTGCTTCCTGCTAGCGCGCACGCTGGGACATGGCGGTAATGGCTCAGGTCGTCGTGTTTCTGCCATCCACTTGGGAGCCCCGGCTTGAGGTGCGAGCTTCTGTCTTCGTCAGGCTGTTACAGACATTTCAAGACTGAACTGGCACCGGTCGCTCTCTCTGCTTTTCCCTTCCAACCACATAAAATAAATAATACAAAATCAAAAAGGAGCCCTGTTATTGCATTTATTTTTCTGTAAGACCCAAGCAGATATCTCTTAGGCTACTTTTTCCTGTGTCTATTTGTTCAAAGGAAAATTTCCAACTACAGGTCAAAGCTCGGCCCCTGTTTCCTTTTTCAGGTTCATGGGGCATACTTTGAACGCTAGAAAACAGAACTTGAAAAAGGCGACTGATGACAGCTGGGAAGCTGGGACAGGCACGGACGGGATGGTGGGGAGCGCTAAAGCTGCAAGGAGTGCAAGAGGAAACCAGGGTTTTCCACAGAGGTGGGCTAAGGGTCTGGAAGCAGTCGGGTTGAGGGGAAGATGCAGTGATCTTACACCTTCCACACGATGAACCCCCAAGCAGTGCACAGAATTCAAGTGCGAAATGAGAAAGCTTCCGGAAGATGATTGCAGAACCTGTCGGTAGCCCTGGAGCTGGTGAGAAGATGTATTGGCCACAGCCAGACTGAAAGCGTTGCTGGGACCCCCGGCTTCTTTCTCTAAGTAGCCGGAAGTGGATGAAGGGATGTGAAGGGTTAGGTTAGGGTTAAATCCAGAAGGCATTCGTCACTTCCTTCCTGCCTGATCCATCAGTCCGGCTAGGTCTGTCTCCATGAGCCCCCAGGACGCGGGCAGGAACTGAACCCAGCATTACCCACATGTATTTCCCAATAAAGGGCAATCAGGCGTGGTAGCCTAGTCCTTATTTCCTTGCCATGGGCACCAGTTTGTGTCCCTGCGACCCGCTTCCCATCCAGCTCCCTGCTTGTGGCCTGGGAAGGCGGTAGAAGACGGCCCAAAGCCTTGGGACCCTGGACCTGCGTGGAGACTTGGAAGAGGCTCCTGGTTCCTGGTTTCAGATTGGCTCAGCTGCAGCTATCACGGCCGCCTGAGGAATGAATCAACAGACAGAAGGGTTTCCATTTTGTCTGTCCTCCTATGAGTATCTGACTTTCCCATAAAAATAAGTTCATCTCAAAAACAAAGCAAACAAACAAACAAAAAACAAAAATACAAAAAACCAGACACAGAGGGAAAAAGAAGCTGACACAGCATTTTTTCATTTTATTCTTTCTTGCTAATTGATTCAAATGATCCATTCTGATTGCTATGCTGAATAAAATCATGTAAGACTAATTATAAGCTCTCAATTGCATATGATTATTTTGCATACAGACGCATGGAAAAGAATGAAAACACAGTGGCACCGGCTTCAGCCTTGGCTTTGGCTAAGAGCTCTATGGAGCGGAGAGGCTGGGTCACCCGGCTCGATCCCCAGGAGCTGCTTGGTGGCCGAGTCCCAGTCTTTGCCCAGTTCAAGCCGCTGGCAGATGGACGAATATTGTCCTTCCATTCTTTTCACCCATTCATTTGCTTTCTTTATTTTCTCAGTATATCTCCAAAGGAGTTTCCTAGTTTTAAAAAAAAAAAAATGTCCATCAATTTCACAGGATGACTGTGTGAAATGTGATGTGATACCAATTCTACAATATTTTATTAGACAAAATAATTCTGCCAAAAATTCACACACACACACACACACACACACACACACACACACACACACACGTGACCCGTTATAGGCTCCTGACTGCTGGGTTTGACCGTGGCTCAGCTTCAGCCATCTCTGCCATTTACGTAGTAAATGCCTCCTTAAAAAAATGTAGGACCTGGCCCGGTGGCGTGGCCTAGCAGCTAAAGTCCTCGCCTTGAACGTGCCGGGATCCCATATGGGTGCTGGTTCTAATCCCGGCAGCTCCACTTCCCATCCAGCTCCCTGCTTGTGGCCTGGGAAAGCAGTTGAGGACGGCCCAAAGCCTTGGGACCCTGCACCCGTGTGGGATTCCCGGAAGAGGTTCCTGGATCCTGGCTTCAGATTGGCATAGCATCGGCTGTTGCGCTCACTTGGGGAGTGAATCATCGGACGGAAGATCTTCCTCTCTGTCTCTCCTCCTCTCTGTCTCTCTTCCTCTCTGTATATCTGACTTTCCAATAAATAAAAAATGTACGACCTGGCTGTTGCGCTTGGAGGCCAACTCCCTGCTCAGGCATTGGGGAAATCAGCAGAAGACAAACCGGGTGTTCCGGCTCATGGCACCCACATGAGGCCCGAATGAAGCTCCCGGCTCCTGATGTTGGCCCAGCCCAGCTGTGGCCATTGTGGCCATTTGGGGAATACAACAGCAAATGGGAGAGTGCCTCTCTCTGTAATTTTGATTTCTGACTTTCCCATAAATTAAATGCATAAGCATACATCTTTGGATAAAACCAGCAAAACATCATCCATTACAAGGAACTTATCTATCGTAGTCTCTCCCTCTATCAACAGGTAATGTTTTTCTGTTTGTTTTCTGCTTACCAGGTCTTTAAAAGAACATTAGCAAATCACATACAAACAAGGGGGTAGCAGTATTTTGAAGAAGTGTGTGTGTGTGTGTGTGTGTGTGTGTGTGTGTGTGTGTGTGGCTGAAGGGGAAATTCATCTTGCCATGGGGTCAGAGTCTGCAGGGAAAAGAGACTGTGCCCACATAGAACCCTTAAAAAAGGCTCTCAAACAGCCCATAGCCTCCCTGGAGACCTTGGAGCCACAGCATTCCCTGACCAGACGGTCCTGAGACTACTTGCAGGGTCCTCCCGGCTTGTCCTCCCGAGTTTGAACTGGGCTAACACATCACTAGGTCTGCAGGGTCACCCGATGTGTGGGGTACGCTTGGGCTTTTGGTGGGTGACGTGGGGTATGTAAGTGGGCACTCCAAGATCGCCAGTGGTCAAACAAGGATTCAGTGTGACCCTGGCGCCCGCAGGCGACTATGAAGTTGCAGCTGTCGAGGCAGGAGAGCAGACACATTTACTTAGTCGTTTGCTAGTCTGCTTGATAACTGCCAAATACTCAGACCTACGGAATGTGGGTTGCCCCAGGCCCTGCAACTGTTCATGTTGAGGATCTCTGAAAGGCAGGCAGGATGAACGCACTGTTACGAAGAGGTGCTAACCAGGAGCCGGGAGACTGGGGCTGCAGTGCAAGACACAGGGAGACTCTCAGGACCTGTTTCCTTAGTGGCCTTTGGCAAGAAAACTGGGTCAGCCCTGCCTGCTGCAGGAGACTGGGTAAGGTGCTCCCCAAATTTCCTTTACAAGGCTTATTGACAAAATGCGGACTGTACAGGTCAGGTGCTTCTTGGTGTGACAAAAGCTACCTGGAGGTGGAAGATGCATCCAACGTCCTCCAGGACTTGACAACGATTCCCTCATGTTCCAACATGGTGCAAAAAAACTGCAGGACCAACAACGTGGCAATCAGGTTCAGGAGGTTTTCTCTTCCACTGACACCTGAAAGGCAAGGAATTCGTCAAGGCTGCTGGAAACGCTACATCTCAAATGGTGCCCAACGACCGTGAAAGAATATGCTATTATTATTAAGCCAGATCCTAACATTTGTAAACACACTTCAAGGTACCTAATTAGCTTCCTATTCAATTTAAATTACCTCATTTAAGTTACTATTTAAAATTAAAAACGAGGATGATGGAGCTGTGCCTATCATAGTCGCATGTCTGAGTATCCCTTCTCTGCCACCTTCAACATCCAGAGGGGCGTGAAATTAGATGAAAGACACTCAGGTGTCAGTGTGGGTTAAGACCTGGTTGGGGGCCTGGCGCCGTGGCCTAATGGCTAAAGTCCTCTCCTTGAACGCCCGGGATCCCATATGGGCACCGGTTCTAATCCCGGCAGCTCCACTTCCCATCCAGCTCCCTGCTTGTGGCCTGGGAAAGCAGTTGGGGATGGCACAAAGCCTTGGGACCCTGCACCCATGTGGGAGACCCGGAAGAAGTTCCTGGATCCTGGCTTTGGATCAGCATAGCATCGGCCGTTGAGCTTACTTGGGGAGTGAGTCATCAGACGAAAGATCTTCCTCTCTGTCTCTCCTCCTCTCTGTATATTTCACTTTGCAATAAAAATAAATAGATCTTAAAAAAAAAAAAAAAGACCTGATTGGGACACCATAGCATCCCATCTTGTTCAAGTCTAAGGTTCAAACCCCAGCTCTTCTGCCAATGCCAGGTTTCTCTAATATAGACCCTGAGGAGCAGTGGCTAGGGGCTCAGGTGCCACCCCAGTGAGTGACCCGGATGGAGTTCCTGCCTCCTGATGCCAGCCTGGCCCAGCCCCAGCTGCTGCCGGCATTTGAGGAGCGAGCCAGCAGATGGAAGACATTTCTCTCTTTGAAATAAACACAAAAACAATCAAAATCAAAAGCCACACAAGTCTTTTTAAGAAGATGCCCACAATCTATGGCCAGGGTGCCTTTCTTGCCATCACCCTGCTTTTTAAGTAAAATGCAAAAAAAGAGAGAAAAAAACCCCAAATCCCTTCCACTCTGTATTGTATATTGCATGATATAGCATCCAGACACCCTGGATTTGCCATCCACTTTTGTCCCGTGTGAAGCTTTTTGTTTTATTAGGGTAGGCCTATTTTGGCATTTCCTTTTGTCCCGTGGTATAGTTCCTGTTCATTTGTTTCTTTTGTTTTGTGTGGTGTGGTTCTTGATTAAGGAGTACTGCCATCAGCAGCAGGCACTTGGGTCTCTGCATCCATGCAGGACACCTGCGCACTGAGTCGCAGCTCCAGGTTTCAGCCTAACCTAGTCCTGCCTTGTTACAGCCACCTGGGGAGTAACCTAGCAGCTGGAAGTTTTCTCTCGGAGAGAAAAGGTCTTCATGATCTTTTCAAGAGTGCAGAAACAAGTCCAGGACAGCATGTCTAGGTTGCTGTAACTTGAAGGTCCAGCTCTGGCCTTCCCAGCTGTTCTTTCTCTCCGGCTTCCTTCCCTCACAGCCTGCCAATGTGCACATTAAGGACAGAGACAGTCCAGGAGCTGAGGGAGTGCGGGGGTAGATTCAGGTGCATCTCAGAGCCCCCTGCACTATGGCCTTCTCCTTTTACGGCTTTTTCTTCCTCCAGATTTATTTATCTGAAAGTCTGCCGGAATCCAGCTCCAGCCGAGTTCGGAGCTCGGGAAGGGTGCGTGGAGTCGGCAATAAGGAAAGACACAGACACAGACACTTGGTGCATTCTCACCACAGCTCAAGAAAAAACTGTCCTTTTTATTTACTCAAAACCCCTCTCAAGCTTCTGCACAAGCAACTAATTGTTCTATTTTTTACTTCAAGACTAAGGGGGCATGTACAGACATTTGGTCATTCCGTCTGCACTTCAGGGCTAAGCAGGTGCCCCTAAAGATAATTCTGCAAAATACTGTATTCATATTCTTCAAAGCAAGCCATTATTCATTCTTCAGTAGTAGCCATGGAGCAACAGCCAGGACTCCAAGGCCAAGGACATGCGATTACCTGCTAATCAGTAGTACATTCCTACCACATTTCTATTTCTACAATTTACCCATCATTTAATGGGAAAATAGGTTACAAGGGAAAAACCTAAAATCTAAAACAGAAACTTCAAATGTTAAATCCCCCTACAACTATAGACTCCTACAACCCCATAAACAATAAAGCAATAATCAAAAGCATTTTTCTTTAATAAAAGCATCCTTAATTCCTCTAGCTAAAAATTATAAAAGCAGCTAAAACAATTATATTTCCTACACTCCTAAAAATTGCAAAGACAAGCTAGCCTTTGAGATAACAATAACTATATTTATTGCCATAGCAGTTTCAGCTCTCACTCCCATCACTTGCATTAGTATTTAAGACATATATATCAAGCCCCTTCCCAGAGGGTGTGCTGTATGTCTGGGCCAGGTTCTGAGGCAATAGTTAGCACACAATAAGGTGTCCAGAAATGGCATGGGCTTAATTGTGCTCCTGTGTGTAAATTGTCAAAGGCCCACTCACCAAGACATTATCAGCGACATTAACTCTTTTTTTTTTTAAAGATTTATTTTTATTATTTTTTATTGGAAAGGTGGATATACAGAGAGGAGATACAGAGAGGAAGATCTTCCATCCGATGATTCACTCCCCAAGTGAGCCGCAACGGGTCGATACTATGCCGATCCGAAGCCAGGAGCCTCTTCCGGGTCTCCCACGCGGGTGCAGGTTCCCAAAGCTTTGGGCCGTCCTCTGCTGCTTTCCCAGGCCACAGGCAGGGAGCTGGAAGGGAAGCGGGGCTGCCGGGATTAGAACCGGCGCCCGTATGGGATCCCGGGCGTGCAAGGCGAGGACTTAACCACTTGCGCCACCGCGCCGGGCCCCAGCGACATTAACTCTCAAGCTCACATCGGTTGCAAAAACCTGCAAAAACTGTCTCACAGGGGCAAACAACAATGCCTCAATAGAATACAGAATTCTTAGTGGGGTGCTTGAGTGTCCATGCAGCCAGGGGGTGAAACAGCATCAAGGTGGTCAGAGAGACTTCCGCTGGGCCTTGCCTAACAGCTGGAAGCTCCCCCGGGCCTTGCCACACAGGGGAGCTGTTCTCTTCACACCCTTGTGTCATCCACACCCACTGCACGGACCCCAGCAAAAGGCAGCATGAGAAAAAACAGAGAGGAGCTCTTCCATCTGCTGGCTTACTTCCCAAATGCTCACAAAAGCCAGGGCTGGGCCAGGCTGAAACCAGGAGCTGGACACTCCATCTGGGTCTCCCAGGTGGGTCACAGAAACCCAAGTACTTGGGGCCATTTTTTGTTGCCAGCTGCACTGGCAGAGAGCTCAATGTGAGAGGAGCTGGATGCTTCGTACTCTGTCCCACATGGTTAGCTTAACCATTGGACGCTGACACCCTCCTCTTTTCAGGGTTTTCACACTTACTAACTTCCCAGCTTGACCTCTGACCCTCCATCCTCGTGCCATGCAGGCTGTAGCCCAGGTGCCTCGTGAGACGGTCTCACGGGCCGGGCGAGGGCTGGGTGGTGTGCAACCAGCCTACTTCACTTCCTTCCCCTTTAGCACTGAGTCCCCTCCCGGTTCCTGCCTGCTTCTGGCTGCATCTCAACGAGTGGGCTTTAAGTGTTTTGTCTGTAGTTCATAGCTGTTATTTGCAGAGAGGTAATATGTTCTTCCATCGCTGTTCAAATCAGCACCCTCTCCTCGCGCCAGCTGCCATCATTCCTGTTAGCCCAAGGCAGGTCAGAAAGTCTAGGCACCTGCTAACTCACCTGGGGATCTGAGCATCCTGACCTTTCAGAAGCAACGTGCAGGTAGATACTGCTGCTCCCCCCTCCTTCGTGAACACTGAATCATTATGTCACGATGCCTACTTTTGAAAAACTCAGTCTTGAGGTAGGGATTTGACACAGCGGTTAGGCTGCTCCCACCCCACGTCAGAGCTTTGCCTCTGCTCCCAACTTCCTGTTGTTGCTCACCCGGCAGGCTGCAGGTGGTAACTCAAGTACTTGGGTTCCACCCACGTGGGAGACAGACTGAGTACCAGGCTGCGTGGCTTTGGCATGGCTGGGCCCAGGCTGTGGCAGGCATTCAGGCAGTGGGCCAGGAGGATGCAGGGGCTCAAGCACTGGCTGGTCCTCCACTGATTTCTCAGGTGCATCAGCAGGGAACTGCATTGCAAGAGGAACAGCCAAGGCTTAACTGGCCCCAATATGGAATTCCAGTGTTGCAGCTGGAGGGTTAACCTCTCACACCACAAGATCAGCTCTACCACGGGCTGGCTTAAGATGCCCAGGATTTCCTCATTCCACCCCTCTGTGGTCCTGACACACAGAACTGTTCCAGCAGAGGCCAGATCTATGCTTATCAAAGCTCTTCTCTCGGGCCCGGCGCGATGGTGCAGTGGTTAAGGTCCTTGCCTTGCACGCCAGGGATCCCATATGGGCGCCGGTTCTAATCCCAGCAGCCCTGCTTCCCTTCCAGCTCCCTGCCTGTGGCCTGGGAAAGCAGTCGAGGACGGCCCAAAGCTTTGGGACCCTGCACCCGCGTGGGAGACCCAGAGGAGGCTCCTGGTTTTGGATTGGCGCAGCACTGGCCGTTGCGGTCACTTGGGGAGTGAATCATCGGACGGAAGATCTTCCTGTCTCTCCTCTCTGTATATCTGCCTTTCCAATAAAAATAAAATAAATCTTTAAAAAAAAAAAGTTCTTCTCTCTTCCTGAGTACAAAACTGGAGAAAGTGAATTAATTTCTTCTCCTCTTCCTCTCTTGGTAGGGCCCGTGACTGGTTCTTGCCACGTTTGCTTCCTGTTGTCTAGTCTGCGGATGATGCGAATGAAATCTTCTTTCTTGGTTGCTTTCGCCAGGTGAACTTGCAAGCCACATGATGTGTGTGGCAGAACCACAGTGTGGAAGCAGCCTGGGTTCTACACGAGGAACCTCCCTGCTGACCAGTAACTGATCCGGCAAGTGACGTTGGATGGCATGGAGTTACTAAGCCTTGTGTGCTGTTTTTACAGCAGTTAGCACTGCTCGTGGCAGCAATCTGACGTGTATGACACCAGAATTACTGGGGAACATACGACTGGCAACTAATCTCCTGTCTCCATTGATATTTAACAAATATAATCCCACTCGTATACAACATTTTTAATTGCTCTGTTAATTCACTAGTTTTTAGGAACATACCCATGAGTGAATGGAAGATGCAACGACTATTTTAACGTCAGTGAATGGAAAAAAATGAGACTTACCTAATGAGCCAATGCCTTTTTGCTCAAGGAAGCCGCATAAGGCATTCACTTTAACGTTTAGCATAACTCCTAGCTCGGGTGTAAGTTTCCAGAAGCCATCCTAAGAAATTAAGAAACAAAATGAAGTTCCATCACGGAAATGTTGTGACAAAAGGGGTAAAGTGGTACACAAGCTTCCATTTATCTGAATTTCAGTCATTACGAGCTTTGTAAATGTTTTAGTACCTAGGTATCCAAGCCCCCGTACAACAGCACTAGAGTCTGGAATCCCAGTGTCACAAGATGCTAAGCGGCTACATGTACAAGTCTAGAAACATTCTAAATCTCTCACAAGGTTTTTCAAACTTCTAAATGGCATAATTTCTTCTTTTAAAAGCTTCTTTTCTGAGGTATGACTGACATATAAACCTGTTGTGTTTGGACATGTTTATGGCTGTGAACCACCCCATGACTGCAACCAATACCATGAATTTATCTGTCGCTTCTAGAAATTTCCTCCTGGTTTCTTAGCACTGGACATGATAAAGCCTGCTGCCTGAGTTTTTAAGTGCATGAAGCAGTACTGTTAATGACATACTCTGGTCACCTGCTTGATTCATTTGGTTCAACATTAGGTAGTCTGAAATCTGATGAAGAGCTTTTTTTCTCTCCAAATACCAAGGAGTTACATTAAAGCTGCTCTTCCACCTTCCCTGTGCCCGCCTTGCCTACGTTGTGCAGGGCATGTGAGAATGCAGCATCTAGACATGGCCCAGATCCTAACTTCGAAGGGGACAGCCCCTAGGCTCTGCGGGAACTAACACAGGGAGCAGTGACATCTGCCGACGAGGACAGAGAGACAGCGAGAGGAGGAGCGACTTGGTCACACAGCACAGGTGGTTGAAGCAGGCCTGAGGTCCCGGCAGCTTGGTGGCAGGGCCCGCCCTCTCTGCCAGGGGCACAGCTGCTCTGTGGCTTTCCTCTCCAGGCTCGCACAGGACAGCTGGGCAGTTAGGACCTTCCTGCCTTAACCTGTAAACCCTTCTCCCCATCATGTGGAAGAGGAGACAGGCTCAGGTCACTATGGAGTGCTGGGGCTGGGAACCCAGGACTCATCCTTACGATCTTGGGCTCCGCACAGTCCCTTCTACTTCATTAAACCAAGTTCCACCAGGGCAGTTACAAGGGCAAGATGGATGTTTCTTAGACAATGGAATGATAAGCTCTAGGACGTCGATGTTACGGGGGAATAGAAGCTCTATTCCCAAATCGCTTGGGAAAACATGCCCAGAGAAGCCTTTCAGCATGCAGGTTTTACTTCCCACCAGGAATTGCATACGAATTGCAGTTCCATCAATTTTAGCAGCTACGATGTGAAGGTTATTCCTTGTGACCTGTTCAGGGCCGCTGTCGGCTGAGGAATATTACAATGCACCAAAACAAGGAGCTGGTTCAATGCCTAAGGGGCAAGTGCCACTCAGTGTCAAACACATCGCTTCTATCAGCTAGCTGCTTTGGGTTTTGGCATTTGTGGGGAGGAAAATTCTCTTGAGGAAGACTGCAGTGTGCCTCACCGCCTGGCATGCGTCCCTTATTTTAGTACTGACTGGCACCGACACTTCCAATGACCAGCTAAGGTGAGCGGCGGGCACGTTTCAGCCAAGGGACAAAGAGACCATGCATTTACAGGGCAGACGGGTACCTTGGTTTGTAGACTGAAGAGCTTCCTGCAGGTCACAGCACCCATCCAGCTCCGATGACTGTCCACGGCCTGCCCTCCTCCTGCGGCCTTAAAAGGCTGGGTTTTCCTTTTGCTTCCTTTGATTGCACTGTATGGAGCCATTGGCAAGTTACTGTCTTTGACAGCTGAATCCGGCTGCATTAACATCTCGCTTGGAAGCTGATCACTTTGCTGGGAACCATCTACTTCGACGGAATCCTCAAAACTCAAGAGAGCACCGCGTTTGAACTGCACAGCAGAACCTAATCTGACTTTAGCTGACTTTAATCTGGCAGGAGCATTGCCAAGGGTATCCCTGAGAGGTTGCCTTTGAAAGAAGCTTCTTGAACTCAACTTCACATTAGCCGTGGAATCATGGGATTGGTAGGCTATGCTGGGACCAGTGGTAGAGGATCTGGGAGGAGACAGGCAGGGAGCCTTCTGACAAAGGACACCAACGGAGCTAAAGCTCAGCCCTGGCTGGGGTGCAGGTAGAGCTGAGAATTCAGCCCCAAGCGTGTCCCAAGAGGTCCCTGCTGTGAGGACCTGGGGCAACTGGCTGGGATGAGACCCCATCTCTTGGTCGTTGCTAGCAAGGCTTAATTTTGTTTGGCAGGAAGCAAAAGAACTAAAGGCCCCAGGTAGTGCTGGGGAAAGCGGCATGAAAGCTGGGCTAGGGGGTCGAGGAGGGAAGGTGGGAAAAGCAGAGGAAGGAATGACCTCAGATAGTGGTGGGGGAGGAGGGATGGGTGCTGGGCTACGGGACAGACGACGAGGGGCGATGAGAGCAGCAGAGGAAGGAATGACCTCACGTAGTGGTGCAGGAGGAGAGATGGGTGCTGGGCTAAGGGATGGAGTAAGGAAGGTGAGAGAAGCAGAGAAAGGAATGCCCCCAGGTAGTGGTGGGGGAGGACGGATGGGTGCTGGGCTACGGGGTGGAGGAGGGCAGGTGAGGGAGACGGCGGCTCCGGCATCGGCAGGCAGAGGAAAGCTATTGGCAATCACTTCTGGTGGTGGCGTGGCTTCTCCGAAATACGTCACACTGTCCTCTTCAGTAGCAAAAATCGTATGTCCTAAACCCAATGGCATTTCCATTTCTTCACATTCTTCGAGTGTGCAAAGATAAGAGCGACATTCATCGAATGCGGGACGTTCATAGCGACATGCACCGAGTGTGAGACCGTCATCAACATCAAACAGAGCAGAATATTCCACCTGCACTGCGTCCTCTGCAGGGGATGCTGAAGAAAGATCCTGCAGATAAAAACAACATAAAGAAGATCAACACTCCTCCCAAGAGAGGGCTCAGTCCCAGAATCGTCACGTGCATGCGAGGACAGGAGCGCTGAGAAAAGCACCCGAGAGCTTCTGCATCCAACACGAGGCAGGGAAGGCTGCTGAGCCCTGCAAGGAAGTGCCAGCAGCCATCACCTCCAGAGACCGGGCTATGGTCTCCCCTCAGAGCCGGGTGCACCCCCACTTCGCACGGAGAAAGTGAGGACAGAGGTGACCCAACCCAGAGGTTGCATTGAATAGAATCACGGTGTGTAAATGAGTCTGAAAATGAGCTAATCAAAATACACGCTGCCAGTCTTTTCCTCCGTTTTCTGGAAATATTAATAAGAAAGGAAAGGAAAAGAAACTTCCGAAGATTGAAAACAAATGAATATTTTTGCTCCAGAGTATGAGAAACACGTAAAGCCAAAATGGGATGAGGATGCTGTTGCTAATATTGCCTGAATCCAAATGGAAAGAATGTTCTTGGGAAAAGAACATCCAAGCTAAATCCAGTTTGATACTGACAACAGGTCTTTGAGACAGTGTGGAAATAATTAGCCTCAGATTTTAGCTAAAAGAGCTGTTTTCAAAAGACAAGTAGGGACAAGCACTGGGCCCAGTGGTTAAAATGCTGCCTGAGATGCCTGGGTTGGAGCCTTGCTCCGCTTCCAACCCAGCTTCCTGCCGTGTGAGGGGTCGGAGGGTGGGAGGCAGCTAGGGTCTCTGGCCCTGGTGAAGTTAGCTTTTAAAATAAAATCGTTCAAAATAAAAAGTTAACAAATAATAAAATCGTGCTGCTCCCCGTTTCTTCCCCTTCCAAGAGCACTTTCTCCCCTCGCAGGGAGAACAAAGGGACAGAATGGATGCATCAATCCCCCTTTCTCAGCATTATCAGAATGGGAGGAGGAAGCCACCAGTCCCACCCTTCCCATGGCCTTTGGTCCAGAACAAGGTGCCACATTGTTGAAATCTTGGCCACACCTTCAAGTGGGTGGCACAAGCATTGCCCACCCATTTCCTCGCTGGTTAAGAGACCAGGGCCCGGTGGCGTGGCCTAGCAGCTAAAGTCCTTTCCCTGAACACGCCCAGGATCCCATATGGGCACTGGTTATAATCCCGGCAGCTCCACTTCCCATCCAGCTCCCTGCCTGTGGCCTGGGAAAGCAGTCGAGGACGGCCCAAAGCCTTGGGACCCTGCACCCGTGTGGGAGACCTGGAAGAGGCTCTAGGCTCCTGGCTTTGGATTGGCGCAGCACTGGCCGTTGTGCTCACTTGGGGAGTGAATCATTGGACTGAAGATCTTCCTCTCTGTCTCTCCTCCTCTCTGTATATCTGACTTTGTAATAAAAATAAATAAATCTTAAAAAAAAAAAAAAGAGAGACCACCAATGGGGAACCTTTTACCTCTAGGTTCCCAGCCAATAGAGAGGGCTCAGGGAACCCTTAAAACCCCCAAGACCCTTCCTCACCCCCTGGTGTGTGTCTCTCCCTCTCTCCTCGCCAGGGACACCCCAGCTCCTGGCTGTCTATCTCTCAGGGGGCTCGTTCCTCTTCCCTCTTCTTTCCATGTACCTGGTCCCTTCACCAATCAAACTTCTCTGCCTGCAACCAGTTCTGGCTTCCTACTTCTATATTAAGCCAAGGAAAGAACCCCCTGAGCTTTTCTTTCATTCTTTCCTAAATAAATCCTGCCTTGCATACTAGAGCTGTCCACAGGAAAAGTCTTTGCTTTGAGACAAGAAATGAGGTTGCTGCCGTGTTTTATGTCGAATTCCCCACAGTGCTGGGAACCCACAGATGGGTCCTCCAGCACTCGGGTCTTTGTCACCCCAAGGGAGTCCTGGATGAAGGGAGCACCAGGCGTTGGTCTGGCCCAGCCCAGCTATTGCATTCATTTAGGTTATAATCCAGAGGTTGGGAGATGGTCTTTCTGCGTTTCAAATTCAATTTAAAAAAAAAAAAAAGAATTTTTCCAAGGAGTAGTTTCAGGGCTGGTGAACTGGTATATCAGACTAAGCTTCTGCCTTGGAGCACTGGCATTCCATATGGGCACCGGTTTGGGTCCTGGCTGAGCCACTTCAATCCTGCTCCCTGCTAATGGCCTGGGAAAGCAGCAGAGGATGGAGCAAGTGTTTACCAGAGAGGAGTCAGGTGGGATAATACGCAATTCAGGTCTCTCTGGTCCATGGTAAAACGAACCATTTAAAAATGTAACATCGTGGGCCCAGTGCGGTAGCCTCGTGGCTAAAGTCCTCACCTTGCATGTAGCAGGATCCCATACAGACGCCAGTTTTTATCCCAGCCGTTGAGGCTACTTGGGGAGTGAACCAGCAGATGCAAGGCCTTTCTCTCTGTCTGTCCTCCTCTCTCTGTAAATTTGACTTTCTAAGAAAAATAAAAATCTTAAAAAATGTATTTACTTGAAAGAATTATAGAGAAAGCGAGAACCTTGCATCTGATGATTCATTCCTCAAATGGCTGTGGTGACCAGGGCTGGGCTAGACAAAGCCAGGAGCCTAGAGTTTTTTGGGTCCTTCAGTGGGTGCGGGGTCCCAATTCTTAGCAGGATAACAACAACAACAAATGCAAAACAAAATAAAGTCTTAGTTGCATAACATATCCAATGACCGGGCACAGCACTGTGGCCAGGTGGATTAAATGCAGCTTGCGACAACACGCCATATCAAGAGTGCTTGGAAGACTCCTGGCCACTCTATTTCTGATCTGGTTCTCTGCTTTGGAAAGCATCAAAAAATGGTCCCAAACCCAGGCCTCTGCCGCCTGCATGGGAGACCCCTTGGCTCCTGACTTTGCTCTGGTCCAGACCTACTGTGGTGGCCTTTTAGAAAGCGAACCAGTGGATGGAGCATTCTTTTTCTCTCTCTTGTTCTGTCCCTCAAATAAAATAAATATTAGGAAGATCTGTGTGAGAAGAGGAAACAATATTAAAATACACATGGGAATTGGGAACTATTTTCATAACTCATAAGGGACTCGTTTTTCCATGGCAAACTTTTCTAAAACAAATAAGGAGACGTAGGAAGACGAGAGAGGACGTGGGGAAGCTTTGCAGGTGTAGGGTTGTAGCTGCGATCCTGCGGAGAACCTGTGCGATCAGTTGATATGGAAATTCACAGGCCGGAAATTCCCTAAACCTCAGGCATAGCTGCTTCAGGTGGAGGGGTGGGAACCCTCATAGGCTCAAGTCAACTCCCTCTAGTTGCTGATATGTAAATTACATTCTGTCTCAAACCATCTTCCCTTATGCCTCTCTCTGACACTAGGATGGAGCGGATTGGTTGAGTTATGCGTCAATGGCCAATGAGATCTGAATGGGATAGACCGGATCGGTCCACTGCACATGCCGGCAGGCACCGGAACTAGAGCTGGGGTGCTGAGTCAGTGAGGGTTATTGACTGGCAGGGCTGCAGGCACCCTGTGGTCCCTAAGGGCCGAGCCTGTGGTGGGCAGGGTTGGGCTTGGCCGCAGCACCCAATGGTCTGCAGATAAAGCAAGGCAGAACAAACTGATCAACTACCCCAGCGAAGCTTGACAGCAAGTTTCTGGGTGAATGGGGATTACGGCAGCCAACTGACCTTGGAAGGATTTCCTCATCTTTGGAACAACTCTATCAACAGCATCTCAGAACTATCGGAACCACTCTCCGAAAATGCTCTCTACCAAGAGGACCCTGGGATGACATCAGGTGGGTGGCTGTTCCCCATCCCCGGGTGCTGAGGAGGTTGGGAGGCTGGGTGTGGCTTCTCTCCTTTTATATCCCCATCAGGTACATGGAGGAGAAAAAAAAATGTGTAAACAATGGTCTCACCCACTTTCCCCTGATCCTTGACCCTTCCCACTCTGATCAACTATGTAAACATTATCATAAAAAAAAAAAGTCTGATGCTGGTCCCTACCTTGGTAGCCTAGTGGCTCAAGGTCTTGCCTTGCATGTTCCAGGATCCCACACGGGTGTCAGTTTGTATCCTGGCTCTCTGTTTTGGGCCTGGGAAAGCAGTAGAGAATGGCCCAAAGTTTTGGGACCCTGCACCTGTATGAGATACCCAGAAGAAGCTCCTGGCTTCTGACTGCAGATCAGCTGCAGATCAGTTGCAGCCTCTTGGGGAGTGGACTAGCAGACAGAAGATTCTTCTCTCTGTCTCTCCTTCTGACTTTCTGATTAAAAAAATAATAATAAATCTGAAAAAATATCTGTAAACTTTGGCTATTGACCATCACTCATTAGTCCATGTGTACAATTATCAACTCCATATACTAAGTCCATCATTGCAGCAAACAAGATGACTACTAGTATCTCAATTTTAAAGGAAGATAATGACATGAACAGAGAATATACAGAAAAGGACTTTTTTTTTAAAAAAAATTGGAGTGGTTTGTGGTACAGTAGGCTAAGGTGCTGTCTGCAACTCTCCCATCCCATAGGGGCTCTGGTTTAAGTCCCAGCTGCTCCACCTCCAATCCAGTACCCTGCTAATACGCCTGGGAGTGCAGCATATGACAGCCCCTAGTGCTTGGGTCCTGTCACCGTGTTGGAGTTCTGAGCTCCTGACTCTGTCTGACTTGCCCCCTGAATTGGCAGTCACTTGTGGAGTTCATCAGCAAATGAATGACCTCTCTGGCCTTCTGCTTCTTCTGTAACTTTGCCTTTCAATTAAACAAATAAATCTAATTAGATGATTGTTATAATTATAATAATTGTGATTATATTACAATTAAGATAATTTTAAGATAATTACTATCTTAAAAAAGAGAAAGTGATACATAGGCTCTTAAGAATATGAGACACATTCCCTTTCATTTAAGAAAGAAGTAAAAATGAAAATGTCTCCAATGTATATCAAATTTTCAAGGATCAACATTTGGTAGTTGGGGGAAGGTGATGAGTGCTTATCTATGATTCCCAACCAGAGTGCTTGGGTTCAATTCCCATTGCCAGCTCCTGGGAACAGTGATGGTGGCTCAAGCAATTGTTTTCCTGACAGTCACATGGGAGACTAGGCTCCAGGCTCCAGGCTCCAGGCTCCTGGCTCCTGGCTCCTGGCTCCTGCCTCCCGGCTCCAGGTTCCTGGCTCCTGGTTCCCGCCTCCCAGCTCCTGGCTCCCAGCTCCTGGCTCCAGGCTCCAGGCTCCATGCTCCAGGCTCCTGATTTCAGGCTTCTGGCTCCAGGCTCCCGGCTCCTGGCTCCTGGTTCCTGGCTCCCAGCTCCTGGCTCCTGGCTCCTGGCTCCTGGCTCCAGGCTCCAGGCTCCAGGCTCCTGGTTTCAGGCTTCTGGCTCCAGGCTCCCGGCTCCAGGTTCCTGCCTCCAGGCTCCTGGCTCCAGGCTCTTGGCTCCTGGTTCCTGCCTCCAGGCTCCTGGCTCCAGGCTCCTGGTTTTAGGCTTCTGGCTCCAGGCTCCTACCTCCAGGCTCCCGGCTCCTGCCTCCAGGCTCCCAGCTCCTGCCTCCAGGCTCCTGGCTCCAGGTTCCTGCCTCCAGGCTCTGGATGAGCACCACCTTAGTGGGCAGCTGAGAGAGAACTCTCTACTTCTGTCTCTCACATTTACAAAGATTCTTTTAGCGTGTATCTTTTATTTAATTTGAAAGGCAGTGAGACCTTTCATGACTTGGTTCACTCCCCAAATACCCGCCCCATCTCGGGCTGAGCCACGTCAAAGCCAGGGGCCCCAGGATTCAGTTTGAGTCTCTCCCGTGGGGCGCAAGGGTCCAAGCACTTGCGTCACTGCCTGTAGTCTCTCAGATGTATATTAGCAGGAAGCTAGACAAGAAGCAAAGCTGAGTCAACCTCTAGCCTCTGATCTGGGCTGCAGGCATCCCAAGCAGTGAAATAACTGACACGTCACATGCCCACCCCAACCCCTCCATTAAAAAAAAAATCAAATTATACGATGGGGTAAGCAGAGGACAGAGTAGCAGCCTCTCTTTTAAAAATATTTATTCATTTACTCATTTTCATTGTATTTGAATGGGGAGAGAGAGAGAAAAAAAATATAAGAAATCTTCCAAATGCTGGTTCATGTCCCAATTGCACGCAATAGCCAGGGCTGGGACAGGCCGAAGTCAGGGACCCAGAACCCAGTCCCGGTCTATTGTATGGGTGGCGGGGACCCAAGTCCAGTGCCATCAGCTGCTGCCTCACACAGTGCACCTGAGCAGGAAGGGCCAGGAGTTGAGCCAAGGCTGCGGGAGGAGGCCTGGGCAGACAGAGGGATGGCCACTGCACTGACGCCTGCCCCGACAGCCTCACTTGTTACATTGCTGCTGTCTGTTACTATGATCTGAGACAAGGCAATTTGGTCAGAGCCCATTAAAATTGTCAAGACAAATTGAAGAACAATTAGCATCCAGTCAATCACATGAAATGTGCAATGGCACTTTAAAAAGTTTATGCAAAACAGAATCAAAAGATTATTTTGGTGCAAATGATTTTGAAATCCATGTATAGAGGAGGTTTGCAAAAAGTTCATATAGAATGTACATTATGAAACACTGTATGGATTGCAAAATGGTTTGCATAGAAATAAACTTCAATTCCATTTAAAAGTGTTTATTTTTATTGAAAAGGCAGAGATATAGAGAGAAAGATCTTCTATTGCTGGTTAACTCCCCATTGGCTACAATGGTTGGGTGCAAGGCAAGGACTTTAGCAACTAGGCTATTGTGCCAGGCCCTTAAATTTCACTTTCTATAAACTTTAAAGAACTGTTATTTACTCATGCATTAATTCATTTGGAAGGCTGAGAACACGGAGGGAGAGAGACAGACAAGCAGAGACAGAGAAATATTTTTCTAGCCCACTGGCTTAGTCTCCAAATGCCTGCCACAGCAGCCTGGCCCAGGTCGGAACCCAAAACCCAGAACTCAGTCTGGTTGTCCGAAGAACCTCAGCCACCACCTGCTACCTGTCCGGCTGCTCATCAGGAAGAAGTTTGGGAGATTGGGAGTGGAGCTAGGCTGCAACACAGACCCTCTGACAATGGGCTGTGAGCATCCGGAATGGCGTCTTAACCGCTGCATCAAACCCCAAGCCCTTGATAAACTTCCGGAAGTGCTCTCCTGTTATCTGATTGACTAGTTACCTGTATGGCAGCATATCGCTCCACGACCGAAGCATCGTTGCAGTTGCTCCATTTCTGTGCTTTGTAGCTACACTGATGTGTCGTGGCTGCTCAGGAATGCGGCAATGTTTTTACAAAGCTGCATTTTCCATCATAAGGGGAGCAACCGGCAGGGGCAGGAGACAGCACGCTGTTGCAACCGTGGAATGGGAATATGAAAGCTCACGTCTCCTGACGGGGTGACAAGGGCTTACCTGTGCTGCCCTGGGACTTGGCTGCTTCTCCTCCCAGCTCATGTAAGGCAGGAAGTCGACATCTTCTTCGGCAATGAGTGTTGAGATGTTTGGTATATTAGGAAAAGGTGCCCCATCACCGTCCTACATGGACTCAAAATTGGGTTACAATCAAAAAAGACATTCGCAAATTAGCGATTATCGCATGTTCTATAGCCTTGTGGGTGTTGGATTCGCACTGCGTCTCTCTGTAAACTTGGGTCTTGGGTCCTGGGCCATGAGTTCAAGCAAAGGTGCACAGACAAGCCTCCTTGGTTGAGGGGTGCTGCCGAGAGCTGTGCTGAGTGCTTTCCATGGATTTTTCTGTGAACTAAGGAAGAGAAGAGGGCCTCTGGGAAGGGACAGGGAACTAGGCTTGATCTATTTTTTGAGGGTGTTGGATTAACAAAAGGTCGGAAGTGCCAAACATGCAACCAAATGATAGAATACTTTAAATTTACATCTGCAGCTATTAATAGCATTAAAAACAATATACACTTTTAGGGAGGTTCATCAGAAATCTTGGTGCAGACCACCATGGATGGGAGACCCTTCTGAGTCCTGCTGGTCTTCCCCCCTTTGAAACACAGCCCTTTGAAACACAGAGCGAGAGTAGCTTCCATAACATAGAAACATCAGTAAGCACACATACCCTTTTCTCAACTGCCACAAAGCTGGTAAATTGCGTTATAAGAGAATTTTCTTTGCTGAGCTTAATGATGACAGATTTCAAAGTTTGCTTCTTCATCTAGGGGAGGAAAAAAAAAAAAGAAAGCATGACCTGTTTTATTGGCATCTATTAGCTGTGCACGCTCAGAGGATCATTAAATGACGTAAACAGGTATTTTCCTGACTTATAGTGAGTATTTCAATCTGAATTCTAGGTCCAGGGTCCTGTCCAGGATTCTCAGGTAAGATGCCTGCAACACAGGGTCAGCTGACTTGGTTCTGCCACAGGAAGAGGAGTTCCTGGACTTTACAAAGAGTGCCCACCAGTGGCCAGAGCCCTCAGTCCACAGAGGAACTCAAGGGGCTGGCTGGCTGTTGAGGATGGTCCCAGGCTGGACCTGGTGAGTTGCCTTCAGAGTTCAAAGGGCTGTGAACACAACACTGATCCAAGAATGCTCAGGAGACCAGTGAGCATCTGCCATGCCTGTTAGGGCCCCTGGCCAGCCTGATATCTGGCACCATCTTGGGATTGCATGGAATACCAACATGCTCACTTCATTCACACGAACAGTCTCTGGGTGACCAGCTGGACAGTCAGGCTGAGCTGGATGGCTGAGAGCTTCGGCCAGGGCCCTTCACAGCGAGGAGAGAGTGCTGGGTGCCTCGGGCAGGTCTTTCACAGCCCTGTTCTTGCCTTCACACTAGGCTGGGAATACCAACAGCACGAGCACAGGAGCCGAGATGGCCTCCCATGCAGGCACTGCTGTATAGTCTCTGAGCCCCATGTCACCCCTCTCTGCAGGGTAAACCATCTCAGAGTTCCCGGGAAAACACCAGGAGTCCCCGGGCACCCACACTCCCTGCATGGATGTCTCAGATGCAGTGCTACAAGCTCCCTGGTTCCTGGTTCTGTTCTCCACGCAACTGTCCTTACCTTCCGCCTCCTTGGGTAAACTCATTAAGACTGAGCAAGAACAAGGCATACTGGTTTCTACAAGGAAAAGACCGAACCTCATGATTTGTCTCGTTTTCATGGAGAATGCCGTCTTCATAGTCTCTGATCAGAGCTCGCGCTGTCAGCTTGTGAATCATCTGTGTTTTAGCAGCAAAGGAGAAAGAGATTCAGATGGCTTCTCACCCAAGACTTACAAGCCTCTTTTAAAAACAGCTGGAGTTGACATGTGGCGGGACGCAATATGATGAGTTTTCACACACGTTTTCAGCCACACGGCCACTACCGAAATGAAGATACAGAATCTCCCCTCACCCTCAAAGCTTCCCTCGAGCGCCTTGCAGTCAGCCTGCAGACACAGCCCTGTTTTCTCAACTGCATGTTTTCTGTTGCCTGAGGTTTGCTTTTTTTCTACCAAAGACCATTTTGCCACTCCAATTCATTTTGGCAATTTAAAACTGCTGTTCCGCAATAGGAGAAGCCGGGCTGGGACTGCGGTGTGCAGCCAGGAACGGGGACCACAGCCCCTGTAGGTGAAGACTAGGGTGAGGAACTGACCTCCAGTGGCAACAGCAGTTTTCAGTAATCCCATCCATCCACAGGGGAAGGCTGACCTTCAAGACTATGATTTTACAGAGAACAATCTGTTTCCAGGTAAAAATTCTTTGATCTGCGTCCAGCACTTTAGCATAGCAAGTTGAACTTCCGCCTGCGGCGCCAGCATCCCATGAGTGCTGCGTGGAGTACTGGCTTCTCTACTTCAGATCCAGGTCCCTGCTAACAGCCTGGGGAGGCAGCAGAGGATGGCTCAAGGCCTTGGGCCCCTGCACCCATGTCAGGGACCTGGAAGAAGCTCCTGGCTCCTGGCTTTGGACCAGCTCAGCTTCAGCCATTGTGGCCAGTTGGGGAGCAAATCAGCTGAGTGAACCTCTCTCTGTGTCTCTCCTGTCTCTGCAACTCTGTCTTTCAAATAAATTAAAAAAAAAATCCTTTGAACTCTTTACCCCTTAGCTTCAATTTTTGAAGCAATATCAATATTTCGCAAAATTCCATGCATTAAGCCATTGGCAAATATTGTCAATTATATTGATCCACTGTCAAAAAGTAAATTGCATCTCACCTTAGAAACACAGTAATAACCGGGATATGATTTGCTTGGATATGCAAGTAGTCCCATGACTAACAAATTACATGCATGGAATACACAGCTCAGTGTTTTCAAGGTCAAACTGGAGCGTGTGCAGCAGGTCCCAAAGCTTCTTCAGGGACTCCCAAGGCCAGGTTTGTTATTCCCTTGCGATTGTGCGCATGTGTATGTTAACTTGGATGGGAGCATGTCTGCCTGCGGTTGGAGGGACTTTCAGCCTCGGCCTCCTGGCACAGTTAATCACCAGTGGTCAGTGAGCCCAGGAGCCTCCTGCTTAATGACAACTGCGGGAAACCTGACCAATGGGCCCAGAGGGCACCTGGCTTGGGCACATCCACATGCTGGACAGGAAATCCAGCACTGGGTACCCTTCCAGCCTTGCCCTGGGCCACCCCTGCCCTGGCAGTCTCTGTGTGCGTTTATATCATGCTTGATGACACAAAGACGGGGAGGAAGGGGTTTCCTGGGTTCTGTGAGCTGTAAGAGCAAATGACCGAGCCTGGGCAGGCTGTGGATGCCCCAGTACACCACCCAGGGCCTGTGAGTGTCCTGGGGGGCTGAGCCCTCCCCTGCTGGGACACACACACTCCGGGCAGTGAAGACTCAGAAGTAGGATAGAGTGAGGTCAAAGCACTGGTCAGCGAGGGCAAAGTCCACGTGATGGAGACCACGGGTGGAGTGAGAAGGAAGGAGCCTGGAGATTTTCATTTCGTAATTAATTTGCTTTTCATTTCAAAACGGAAAACTACATCTTCAACATAGCATGTAGTTGACCCTGACGCAGTAATGCTGTGATGGACATTTATCAATAGTGTGGCTATTGCCTTGACAATGAGCCTTCATTGGGTCATGAGCATCTTTGAAACTCTCCATAGGGCAATTATTCGTACCAGTGCCCATGGGGTCGTTCAGACATGAGGCCCCTGGGCTGTGAGTCAGCTGTGTACTTGGTCCCATCTTTGTATGTACACATGACCAAGCTCTGCGTCATGTACAACAAAGGAAGAATGCACCCACACACGGAAACACACGATTAAGACTTTTGGCCCAAAGTTTAAGTATAGAATCTCACAGTTCCCGTTGTCTTCTGGAGCTCGGTAGTCGACACCATGGCCTGGAATTCCTTCTCTTCAATCAGCGCACACAGAGTTGCCTGCAATGGGAAAGACACAAACTCCTCCTAGGTTTCCATTCCAGCTTCTGCTGAGTCCACAGTGGTTCTCTCGATGACGGTTCCCCCTTCTCACTGACAGAAGCCTCGTGAGCCCCAGGCTAACACCCAGCTGTGTCCCCACAAGGGGAAAATCTGCTACTCAGGAAGAGAAGGAAGAAAGAAAAAAAAGTAGCAAAATGGATTGCTCTTCCCAATAGCACGACTTGTGCACCTGCCTACCTGTGTACAATGGGGAATGAATCCATAGACGAGGAGCCGGTCGTTGTGAAACAAGGAGGGCACCTGGGCGGGGGCCTGCAGGGGCTCAGGGGCGTCCAGACTGAGCTGCTGCCACTTGACAGAGACAGAGTGGCAACTTGGAGAATGCAGCCTGGCCATTTGCTCTTCTATCTGTTAATAAAACAGCAATTATTTCTTGTTCAAGGTGACACACATGTTTTTGTTTTATTTTGCATTTGTTTATTTGATTGCTGTTGCCAGCCATATCTGTATGTACTGGCTACATGCCGTACCCAAAATGGCGCCGGCCAGAGAAGCCACATCTTGGTGTTTGGTGGAGAGTCACGTAGCTTTCGCAGTACTGCGCAGGCGCCTAGCGCATGCGCAGTGAGCTGCGGCGCGGCAGGCACGTAAACACTGGGACTGACGAATCCAGTCGCCCAGAACCCTGCGTAATCATGACGCCGACCTATCATCGGCGGAGGCGGGGCCAGACAGCACATAAGAGCAGACAGACTGCCGGGATCTGGGCCTCTTCATGTTGGTGTGCACAATAAATTTTACCGCAGGAGGCTTCACTCGCGTCTGCGTCTTATTGCTGGGCGGTAAGACACGTGGGCGCGACAGATTGCTTTAGCATTTATTTATTTTTAGTGGAAAGGCAGATTTACAGAGAGGAGAGACACAGAGAAAGATCTTCTGTCTGCTGGGTCACTCCCCAAGTGGCCCCAGTTGCCGGAGCTGAGTCGACCTGAAGCCAGGAGCCAGGAGCTTCTTCAGGGTCTCCCACAAGGGTGCAGGGTCCCAAGGCTTTAGGCAGTCCTCGACTGCTTTCCTAGGCCACAAGCAGGGAGCTGGATGGGAAATGCAGCAGCCAGGACACAAAGCTGGTGCCATCCGGGATCCTTTCAAAGGGAAAGGTTTAGCCACTGAGCCATCATGCTGGACCCATGACACGCATGTTTACATTATTATTATTACATTAGGAATTTTACAGATTCTTTTTTTTTCCTCCTTCCTGATAATGGCTCTTTTCCAAAAAGAGCTAGACAAAATGTTACACAACATCACTATTACATGGCTTAAATTTACAAAGCCTCCTGGGTCTATGCCATTAGCTAATGAATTCTCTTTTCTTTTTTTTTTTTTAATTCTTTCATTTTTTTAAACCAGGCCTCTTTGATTGCTGGAGCAGTGGGGACACAGCTGTGCAGTGGACCACATGACAAGAGACACACGGTGGACATGACAGATCATGGAGGCCTGCCCACAGAGGGCAGGACAAGTTGGACCACACTCCTGGCTGAGCTTCGGCAGCAGGTGTCTGGGCAAGCCTGGAGGGATCACCTCTTCCGTGGAACAACGGAATCAACAGCATCTCAGAACTACTGAAGCCACCAAAGCAGCACCCCTGAGACATGCTCCACATCCGGGACCTCAGCATGACACTGAAAGGCCGTCCCACGACCTCAGCTACAGCTGCGGTTAGGCTGCTGGCAGTGGCCTTCTCTTCCTCTCCCTTCTTTCCCCAGAAACAGGAAGAATAGAAAGGAAGATTAGAAACAAGTGTCTGGGCCTGGCGTGGTAGCCTAGTGGTTAAAGTCCTTGCTTTGCACATGCCGAGATCCCATATGGGTGCCGGTTCATGTCCCAGCTGCCCCACTTCTCATCTAGCTCCCTGCTTGTGACCTGGGAAATTAGTTGAAGATGGCCCAAAGCTGTGGGACCCTGCACCCCCGTGGGAGACCTGGAAGAGGCTCCTAGTTTTGGAGCTGTTCAGCCCTGGCTATTGTGGCCACTTGGAGAAAGAATCAGCAGAAGAAAGACTTTTCTCTGTTTCTCCTCCTCTCTGTATATCTGACTTTCCAATAAAAATAAACCAAGTGTGTATTTTTTTAAAAGGATTTATTTAATTTTTATTGCAATTGCAGATATACAGAGAGGAGGAGAGACAGAGAGAAAGATCTTCTGTTCGATGATTCACTCCCCAAGTGGCCGTAATGGCTGGAGCTGCGCTGATCTGAAGCCAGGAGCTTCTTCCAAGTCTCCCACGCCGGCGCAGGGTCCCAAGGCTTAGGGCCGTTCTTGACTGCTTTCCTAGGCCACAAGCAGGGAGCTGGATGGGAAATGGGCCACTGGGATTAGAACCGGTGCCCATATGGGATTCCGGCATGTGCAAGGTGAGGACTTTAGCCACTAGGCTACCACTCTGGACCCTCAACAAATAATCTTAAAAAAAAAAAAAGAATGTGCTGCACTTGAGATGCCCACACAGGAGTACCAGTTCAAATCCATGCTAATCCTATTCTGATTCAGCTTCCTGCTGGAGGAAGTCAATGATGGTTCAAGTACTTGGGCATCTGAGCCCATACGGGAGAACTTGAAAAAGCCCTGGGCTCCTGGCTCCTGCCTGGCCACAAGATAGGCATCTATGGCGTGACCCAGCAGATGGAAGATCGCCCTTTCTCTCCTTGCTCTTCATTTAACCCTGGCTTTCAAATAAATAAGCACATTTTAAAAACAGCCAGCCAGCACCAAGAGTGAATAGAGAACGTAAATAGAAATCATGACGATATGTAACTTTATATCCGTTACGATGGCTGCTATTAAACAGACAAAAACAAAAACGTAAGAAGCAGTGCCGATGTGTGGCCAGTGGCAATACGAGATGGAGCAGCTGCTGAGGGAGACAGCATGGCAGCCCTAAGCCACCCACGGGGTGACCACAGGATCCAGCAGTGTCACTTCTCAGCTGCCCGGAAACGAATGCTGAGGTCGGACAGGTCCCTGCATGCCAACCTTCACACCAGCATCATTCGCAACCACCAAAGTGTGGAAGCCACCCGAGGGTCCGTCCACCGATGACCAGGTGGTCAACACGTGGTCATGGACCATTATTCAGCCTCAAAGACAAGGAAATTCTGGCGCACAAGCTGAGCCTTGAATACATTATGTTACGTGAAATAAATCAGTCACCAAAGGGATTTATGTGGATAGGGCATACCTGGAACAGGAAGGCTGCTAGAGCCCTGGAGGGCACAGCAGGTGCCAAGGGAGAGGAGGGCATGGCAGCTACTGTTTAAATGGAGATGAAAAAGCTCTGCACAGGACACGACTACAACATCATTGGATGTCACCTGCCATGCCCCAGCTCCAGCCCCGTGGCATGCCAGGGCCACAAGCATGCTACTATAGACCCCGTGCACATGCCACAGAGCTGGGCACTGCACAGCCACTGCACATTGGGATGTTTTGTGTCTCATTGACCACAATAAAAATCCCAGCAAAACACACATCATAGCTCACCTCCAAAAATCAACACACAACACTTCATAAAACAGAAATCCAACTGTTACCTGGGCAACTGGCCAAATCCTACAGGGATGGTGCTCTTGCCAGAGCAGCAGCACATGGGCAGGAGCCCACCTGTCCGTAGGTCTGTCCACAGCGCCCCTTGCCAGCCCAGCAAACACGCTGGTTCTCATCATTTAGACTCGTGAAGCTCATCTTCCACATAAGAGCATAAAATGAGGGTGAGTTGGGCCCGGTGGCGTGGCCTAGCGGCTAAAGTCCTTGCCTTGAACATGCCCGGGATCCCATATGGGTGCTGGTTCTAATCCCGGCAGCTCCACTTCCCATCCAGCTCCCTGCTTGTGGCTTGGGAAAGCAGTCGAGGACGGCCCAAGGCCTTGGGACCCTGCACCGGTGTGAGATACCCAGAAGTGGTTCCTGGCTCCTGGCTTCGGATCGGCATAGCATCGGCCGTTGCGCTCACTTGGGGAGTGAATCATCGAATGGAAGATATTCCTCTCTGTCTCTCCTCCTCTCTGTATATCTGACTTTGCAATAAATAAATAAATCTTTAAAAAAAATGAGGGTGATTAAACACGTACCTGTTTCTTCCAACTATGTTTGGAGTTTGAATTAAAATATTCAAACACTCCAGCACCGTACTGGGACAAAGTCCTCAAGATGTGACGATTCGCAGAGGCACTGAAAAAATATCACAGTTTGATGTTCAAAACACTCTAGACACATTTTTATTTTTTATTGGAAAGGCAGATATGCAGAGAGAAGAAAAGACAGAGAGAAAGATCTTCCATCTACTGGTTCACTCCCCAAGTGGCTGCAATGGCCAGAGCTAAGCCAATCTGAAGCCAGGAGCCAGGAGCTTCTTCTGGGTCTCCCACATGGGTGCAGGGTCCCTCCCAGGTCTTGGGCCATCCTGCACTGCTTTCCCAGGCCACAAGCAGGGAGCTGGATGGGAAGTGGAGCTGCCGGGACACAAACTGGTGCCCATATGGGATCCCAGCGCGTGCAAGGCAAGGATTTAATTAGTAGGCTATCTCACTGGGCCCAATAATATTTATGTCTTAAAACTGGATACACACCGAAATGCAGGAAGTATAAAGAAATGATGCTCACTGAAGCAAAGAGAATTCTTGATATTTAAAAGGCATTGGTCCTATCAGGTTTCTGTTGATAATATTTCACTAAGAACTAATTTCTGATTCTCATGTTGTAGCAGAGCAGGTTAAGCCACTATCTGAGCTGCTGGTTTGAATCCCAGGTGCCATACTTTATGATCCAGCTGTTGCTAACACAACTGGGAGCCCAGCAGATGGCCCAAGTGCTTGCATGTCAATACCATCTGGATGGAATTTCAGGCCCCTGGCGTTGGCCTGGCCTAGTCCTACCACTGTAGCCTTGGAGAGCAACAAGCGACTTGCAAGATTCTCTCTCTCTCTCTCTCTGTTTCTGTAGCACTGCCTTTCAAACAAATGCATCTTTGAAAAAAAAAAAAGATGAACTGCAGCTAGTCCGCATTGTGGTTTGGCAAATTAAGCCTCCACCTCTGATGCTTGCTTCTCAACATGAACACTGAATCTGTGTCCCAGCTGCTCCACTTCCGATCCAGCTCCCTGAAAAAGAGCCTGGGAAAGCAGTGGAGGCTGACCCGGATGCTTGGGCCCCTGCACCCACAGGGGAGATCCAGCAGAAGCTCCTGGCTTCAGGTCAGCTCAGCTCCAGCTGTTGGGGTCATCTGGGGAATGAACAAGCAGATGCAAGATCCTTCCAGGTGGTCAGGACTTACCCAATTCCACAGGTGAACAGCCTGGTGTGGTGGACACTCCTTTTCACGAGCTGTAAGGTCAGGCTCTCATTCTGGAGGTGCCCGTCAGATATCAGGAGAATGTTCCGTAACCCTTGAGCGGGGTACAGTAAACTTAAGTACCGTAGGGTTTTCCAGAAGTCTGTGTTCCCCATGGTAGGCGTGGCTGACTGGAGGAGACAAAACAAAAGAGCACTCAGTCCTTTTTGGGTGAATTCACTATTAACTGGAACCATTTCCTGAAGTGCGTCTTTTAACGAGGGCTTAGCGATGTGCCATCATTGCGGTAACTATATCCCTTCCGTTTATTTCATATCTTTATCACTTGCCACTTGCTTGTGTATGGCTGTTGCGTGCATGGGAGAAACGGCCCTCAAACCACCCCTGGGTTCACCAGCCTGGACTTGGTGGGAGCCTGGCCATTCTTAGCCTGCTCCATTGGGAGAGAGAATAAACACAGACCCAAGTAAATTGTTCAAGGGACTGGAGCTGGGGCATGGCACATGACGCCCCTGGCATTCCACAGCGGTGCCAATCAGAGTCCCAAATACTCCTGATGAGCTTCCTGTTGATGTACTCGGGAGAGCAGTGGAGGATGCCCCTGGTGCCCACGCCCCTGCACCCAACTAGGAGATCTGGATGGAATTCCAGCAGGTGAACTATTTTTATCTCTTCCTTTCAAATTATTGCTATTATTATTTTTAGAAAAAATGTCAAAATCATTAATATCAGTTACATACAGACTGGTGATTTGTTTCTACTTTTTAATTTTCAATTTTTCTGTAACAGATTCATATACCATTATTAGTGAAATAAAGAGCCTGCCAACACAGCAGCCCAAAGAGGGAATGGGTCCTAATTTAACCCATTGGACTACTAATTTTTTTTTTTTTAATTTAAACCCCATCTTTCCTCCAACCCCGAGACCACTAACTCTTGATAGAGGAAGACTCAGAGAATGGAGAAAATGTTTTCGCTCACCAAAATGAAGTCCGTCAGCACTTTTTGACTTGTGATGTTCTTAGGATATGAAAATAGCTCCTTGTAACCTACGTAATAACATTACATGAGATGTTCCCATGAAACATTCAGTTTATCACCAAGACGCAAGAATGACAACTTTGCTGCTATCATACAGAAAATGTTAGGGCTGGTGCATGGCTCAGCTGGCTAACCCCCTACCTCCAAGCAGCAGGATCCCATAGGGGTGCTGCTTCCTGTGCTAAGCTATTCTGCCTCCCATCCAGCTCCCTGCTTGTGGCCTGAGAAAGCAGCAGAGGATGGCCCAAAACCTTGGGACTCTGCACTTGCGTGGGAGACAAAGAAGCAGCTCCTGGCTCCTGGCCTTGGATTGGCTCAGCTGTGGCTGTTACAGTGGGATGAACCAGTGGATGGAAGATATTTCTTTGTGTCTCTTCTTCTCTCTATAAATCTGCCTTTCCAATGGAAATCATTTTTTTTTTAAAAAGGAAAATTTTATTAATGGGCATACCTTCCTTTTTAGAAAACCATGCTTGATCATTTTAATGTATAAAAAATTCATTGTATATCTATACATTCTAGAGCATGCCAATCCTGTACTTTATTATGCATGATGCTCTGGGTCGGATCTATGTAGTCACGTGGTTTGAGTCAGTTCAGCTGCTCTGTAGATCGTTTGTGCAAAGTGAGCCATGGGGCCCGGCGCCATGGCCTAGTGGCTAAAGTCCTCGCTTTGAATGCGCTGGGATCCCATTGGGAGCTGGTTCTAATCCCGGCAGCTCCACTTCTCATCTAGCTCCCTGCTTGTGGCCTGGGAAAACAGTCGAGAATGGCCCAGAGCCTTGGGACCCTGCACCCATGTGGGAGACCTGGAGAAGGTTTCTGGCTCCTGGCTTCGGATTGGAGCAACTTTGTGGTCACTTGGGGACTGAATCATCGGATGGAATATCTTCCTCTCTGCCTCTCCTCCTCTCTATATATCTGACTTTGTAATTAAAAATAAATAAATCTTAAAAAAATAAAGAGCCAAGGTGGGTAGCAATGGCAGGAGCAGCTTGGACCTACAAGGGCTGGCATTTTAAATTTTTGTTAAAGTTTTATTAAATTTGTTGGAAAGGTAGATTGTATGGAGGGGACAGAAAGATTTTCCATCGACTGATTCACTCCCCAAGTGAACACAGAGAGGACGGAGCTGAGCTGATCCGAAGCCAGGAGCTTCTTCCAGGTCTCCCACATGGGTGCAGGGTCCCAAGGCTTTGGGCCGTTCTCCACTGCCTTCCCAGGCCACAAGCAGGGAGCTGGATGGGAAGTAGAGCAGCTGGGACATAAAATGGTGCTCTTCTGGGATCCTGGTGCTTGCAAGGTCAAGGATTAGTCAGTGCTGTCATGGCGCTGGGCCCTAGGGCCAGCCTTCATGCACGCCCTTTGCACTCCCCCCACCTTTTGGACTCATGTCTGGGTCCTGCTCCATCATAGAGGCTTCAGGCAGCCTACTGGATGGCCTGGAAGACGAAAATAATGAGGATAAGATGGCACGGACTTCTCTCTACTGAAGTGTCCCCTGCTGCTGGCAGAGACGTGTCTGGACACTGGCCTGCAGGACAGCATCGCCTTCCTCCTAACAGTGCCCTGATGCTGAGACAATGCTTCACAGTGCTGATCGCAAATGAGCCATTCTTACTTTGGGGACACCCTGTGAATCAGACCGAGGGTCTTGTGTTCGGCTCAGCTAGCAATAACCATTACCATACCATACTAGACTGGGACAGCCCTGATTTTAAACCCTTTACAGGGTTTAAATCAGCTTACTGCACATGGTAGTACAGGAGGGAGAGACAGCCGCAGACGACAGATGAGGACACTCAGGAACCCAAACTTGAAGCACTTGCTCAAGGCAACACACCGAGCTTGAGCGTGGCAGAGCCGGACACGGGCCCAACTTCCCGTGTGCCAGGCCCTTGCTTCTCCTACAGGGTGTGGTCCCAGCAAGGAGGAAGACTTCCGGGCTGGGACTCGGGCATGCTCACCTGTGCCGAACTGGATGATGTTTACTTTCTGCTTCTTGCCTAGCAGGGACAAGGCGTGCAAGGCAATCTTTCGGGCGTTGGTGAATGTCACCCCCTCCATGGAATTGGAACAGTCAAGACAAATAATCACTTCGTTCCTGTCGGCCACGTGTGGGAGGGTGGCAGTGAGGCAGGGTTGAAAGACAAGCATGCATGCCTAAAAGGAGGGAGAGACATGGCAGCACGGCCTAGTAGGACTTCAAATAGCAGAATGGTAGAGCTGGCATTTACAGTGTATAGGGCATAAACCTGAGAGCTCCAGAACCAACGTCAGTGAAGTCACATGGTATCAACATTGGAACACGCTTAGATGCCTCTCTCTGTCTCTACCGCACACACACAGCCAAAGTTCAAGGCCTTGCCCCCCGCCCCCCAACACACACAGCTTGTGGGTGGACAAGCTGGGCTCTGGCTCCCACATCTTTGGAAGTCTCAGGCAGGCTCTTTGCAGAGTCTTCAGGATGCATTCATTTTCAGTCAGTAATTTCTTATGGAAATAACCCGTTTCTTCCCACATGCTTTTCCAATCCTAGGTCTTAATTCTAAGTAAGGAGGAACGTACCTCACTTTCTTTTTCTGGATGTTTTTCCACCCACATCCTTGGGAGGTACGGATCACACAGACCGACGTGAAGGGAGAAGCCGTTGCTCTCCAAGGTGCTGCCTTCCACGGTGCTGACGACCGCCTTGCAGTCAGTGCTCTGCAAAGCAAGCAGTCACATAGCACAGTGACCCACAAGACACAGGCATGCCATCAGTGTGCAAGAAATAAACGCCGTTGCTTGATTCACATAACTCTGTGAGGAGCCAGCAACACAGGAATAAACCCCAACCGCATGAAATGTAGGTTTTAGGTGTCTGAGCAGTGTCATCCATCCCACACACCCCCTTGAAATGCTAAGGCTGATTTACACAGTCAAGTTTAGGTAAGTCTCAGGATGGTCTCAACCCTGGGTTCCATGCAGAGACCTGTGTATTCAGCAATGCATATGGCAGAGTGCACACTAGTTAATCAGGACCTAAACCAGCAGTGGGGAACAGTCCAAAGATGTCTTAAAGTTATGCCTTATTTCGAGATTATATCTTTGTAAATGTAAGGAAGCTTTTGAAATGCACTTAAGTGTACAAACAGCGACGACCATGTGGTGACTCCCAAGGTCTCTCTACTCCTATAATCCTGACCCTTTGCGATGTGACCTTGGAGCTCCTCCCATCAAGAGGTGGTGCCTATGTCACCACTCTTGAATTGGCCATTGGAGGCGGCTGTATGAGTTGCTTTGCCCAGTGGCATACTGGCAGATGAGATGTGATATAAGCAGGGACTTGTGGAATGCCACCAGTTTTCCCGTGATGCCCCTCTGTTGAATGAATGGCCTTCGGTCAACCTGCTGGATGGTGGAAGACACAGCTGCTGCCCCAGCTGACACCAAGGCAGCAGCTGAGTGTCATGATGCCATGTTTGACCAGCTGGTGCCTCCAAGACCCAGAGCTGCCAGGCCAATCCACAGAAGTGTGAGAATAACTGGCACTTGCTGCTTTAAGTCCCAGGCCTTGGCAACTCTTGTTGCCCAAAGCTAACTGGGGTGGTGGCCTTGGCACCCAGGGTGGATCAAACACATGGGCCTCTCTTTGCTGTATAGCAACGTGCTAAGTTTCCAAAGAGTGGGAAGGAAACTTTAAAAAGTTTTAACTTATACAAGAGATTGAGAACATCGACAAAAATCACAGCAGATGGGAGGCATCTAAAAGTTTAAGGAGCTAGAAAGCTGAAGGAGATGGGGCTGAAGTAGAGGCAGCTACTCCCCAGTGCCCACAGAGGGGGCCACTACAGGTGGCAGTCTCGTTAACCCTCAGCAGCAAAGGGAAGGCTCAGAGGCAGAGGCACAGTTCCTGCAGAAACATGGTCCCAGCCAAGAGATCATGAGCCAAGCTCGCAGGTTCCAGGCTCTTCCCCACTCGGAGTTGTTGAGCACTAGTGCCATGCATCCCCTGTTTTCTCACTAAAGGAGACAGAGGCTCAGCAATTAGAAAACTTCAACCAGGGGTGGGTGTTGTGGCATAGCCTATTAAGCTACCTCCTGTGGTCCCATATCAGAGTGCTGGTTCAGTTCCTGGTTGCTATGCTTCCATTGCGGCTCTCTGCTAATGTGCCTGGGAAAGCAGCTGAAGATGGTCCAAGTGCTTGGCCCCTTGTCACCCATATAGGAGACCCAAATGGAGTTCCTAGCTCTTAGCTTCAGCCCAGTCTAGCCCTGGCTGCTGTGGCCATTTGGGAAGTGGAGCAAAAGATGCAAGATCTTTCTCTGTCCCTCCTTCCCTTCCTCTCTCTCTTTCTCTATTACTCTGCCTTTCAAAAAAAAATAAATCTTTTTTAAAAAAATTTCAACCAAATAGCACCCAGACTAGGAGATGCTGGCACAATGGCACAGAACAGTGTAGGGCTATTCCCCAAGGGGAAGGAAAGCGAGCTGGCATTCTAACATGTGAGCCCCCCAGTCACACTTTCTGACCATCCAGAAGGTTCAAATCAATGTTCTTGTGTCTCAGTTCTGACAACAAAAACAGGAAGATGTCCCCAAGACGGATTAGGAAAAGCCTCTACCATGAAGAATACAGACACAAAAAAATCCAGAAGGGAAAAGTGGAACTGAAAATGAGGAAACAGAAAAAAAAAATGTGTATTGTGAATGTTTTCCAAGAAACAAAAGAAAACAGTTTTCCCATGAAACATACAAAGGTGCTATGAAAAAGGAATATTCAAAGGATAGAAAAGAGCTCCGAGAACTAAAATGTATGAGAATCAAAACCACACATTGGGCCTGGTGAGGTGGCATAGCAGCCAAGTCCTTGCCTTGAACACACCATATGGGAGCTGGTCCTAATCCCAGCAGCCCCGCTTCCCATCCAGCTCCCTGCCTGTGGCCTGGGAAAGCAGTCGAGGACAGCTTTGGGACCCTGCACCCGTGTGGGAGACCCAGAAGAAACTCCTGGCTCCTGGCTTCAAATTGGCGCAGCTTCGGCCATTGCAGTCACTTGGGGAGTCAATCATTGGACAGAAGATCTTCCTCTCTGTTTCTCTTCCTTTCTGTATATCTGACTTTGCAATAAAAATAAACAAATCTTTAAAGAATCACACATTTTGTAGAGCGAGGACAATTTAAAATTGGACAGGAAACTCTCCTAGGAAATAGCACAAAAAGGCAATTGATTGGACAGGAGGAGAGGAACGCCAGACAGCGAGGACACCTGATTGGAAGATGCTGCAGTAAGGAAGGAGAGAAAGGAGTGACTCATTTTTAAAAATTCTTATTTCCCAGGACTAGGCAACATGAATTACATACAATGAACTAACGTCGTATATTTAGGAAACTTCAGGATCCTAGGGATAATTCTTGTAGAATCCTCAAAAACCGAGCTCAACAGGCCACAAAGGACAGGGAACATGAATAATTGCACTTGTCAGAAGTAACCCTGGGAGCCACACCTGCCTGGAGAAGGGCGGGTGTTTTTACTCCCTCCCCATATGCGTTCTCAGGAAGTATGTGGAGGTTGTGCTCTGCCAGCCTGGAGGAAGAAAATAAGAAGCATGGAAGAAAAAAAAAAAAAAACAATCAATCAACCAACCAACCAAACAAAACAGCAAAAGGAAGGATAGTACAGGGAAGCCTAGATAGGTTGGCCCAGTGATAACCTGACCAGACCATCGCAGGAGCCAGAGGACGAGGTGGGGGAAGGCAGGGAAATGGGCCATCAGGCACCAACAGTGTGAAAAACAGCGTGTAGAGAGAGGTTAGCCTCAACTGCCAGATACAGTCCTTGGAAACAGGCTAATGGAAACAGCAACTTTGACAAAAGAATGTCATCATAACACATTTCTTGGTTCAATGGTAAACACTGCTATTAACAATAATTGACAATTTTAGCTACTTGTTTTTGCCTCATTTGAAAGACACAAAGAGAGAGAGAGGTATCTTTCACCTCCTGGTTTACTCCACGCATGCTCAGAACAGCCAGGGCTGAGCCAAGCTAAACCCACCCAGGAGCCAGGAACTCCAGCCAGGTCTCCCATCGTGGTGGGAGGAACCCCCATTTGGGCCTTCACCTGCTGCCTGCTTTTATGCACCAAAATAAACTTGTATTTTTTGGAAAATTTGTATTTGAGAGGCAAAGAGACAGAGCTTTGAGCTCTCCAACCGGAGGATAAAAGCTCTTTCTCTGATTTTCAAATACATAAATTAGTGGTGAATTTTACAACTTCACTGTTCTGAACGGAGATCCAAGGCACAGGCTTTTGGCTCAGTGTTGAAGATGTCTTGGTGCATCTGCACCTGCCCATCTCATAGTGCCCGGGCTGAGTCTCCTCTCTGTTTCTAACCCAATTTCCTGCTAATGTACTGTGGAAGGTAGCAGATGAGGTCTCGGTACGTGGGCCTCTGCCATCTGCATAAGCAGCACAGGTAAGTTCCTGGCTCTTTGCTTTGGCATGGTCCTTCCCAGGCTGTGGTGGACATTTGGGATTTGGGGAGTGAACCAGTGGGTGGACACTTGCTCTCTGTCTCTGTGTCCATGTTCAAATCTATGTCTACATCTATATGTAGCATTGCCTGTCAATAAATATTTTTTTTTAAAAAAAGAAAGAAAACATTCACTAACCTTTTGTTTTAGTTCATGCGTGTCACTGGAAATGAACTTGATCACATATGGCATCTCGATAGACATAGTCAAAGAGAAGCTACCAAAAGTGAAGACGTTGCTTTAGTCTCTCATGTCTTAGTTCTACCAAGTTGTTTCACATAATTTTATAAGAAAATGTAAGCCATAATGACAAATCAAACAACAGATGGGTTTTAAATATTTCAGGTACTTACCTTTGCTGTGTTCCTATTTCCTTCACACAAATCTTCTCTACTGTGTCCTGTTTAAAGAAAAACACACGTGGCTGAGTGTCTAGTCAAAGTTCCCAGTGGAACCCTGAACTGACGGCAGCACCACACAGGTCGACCTGGGACACGGAACGCTGTTCTTGGAGTGACAGTCCCTTCCAAGGCACACCTGACAGCAGGAATCATGTCTGACCATTATGCACACACACTAAGTGTTTGTAGTGTGTAAATACACACCTCACTCTGCATGCCTGTATTTGTATACACATTTACACACATATGTGCACCTACAACATTAATCAGCAGCTTTCTCTGGGTAATAGAACTGGGATGATCTTAATCCTCTTCTTTTGGCTTATTTGAGTTCGCCATGCTCATCCACTCTTTGTGATGAAGCACACACACAGAACATGAGTGATCGAGTAGTTAAAAAAAACTATGCCCATTGAGCAGATCTGTCTTCCTGTTGATTCATGTCACAGATAGAACACACGTCTAAACACCTAAGTGTCAGGAAAATTGACTTTATGCCAAAATAGATGACTTCAGATGTTTTTCCTTCCCCATGCATATAGCTGCCTCAAATTTAATCTTAGGCGTACAAACCTGAAGGTTTTCATTCAAGGCCTTGTCCTGTTGCCAGGGAGCCACGGTGGCTGGCATGAAGAAGACAGCCACGGGGCCCTGCAGGGTCAGTTCTGTGATGTAGGTGATTTTGATGAGAACCTTAGCTGCAGGGGGCAGGTTGCCAACACTCACAGTAAAAACATCCTGAAATAGAATCAGATGCAGTGGTTTGCAACTCACACAGGAGTCTAGATCCAGCAGTTTAAGCTTGCCTCCCTTCCTGTCCTTACCCTGCTAGAAGAAAAGACCTCCTAAGCGCCCTGCTGTGTCTGGTATTTTGGTTTATTGGAGCAAACTTATCCCAGAAAGAAGACCTGGGTGCACAGAACAACACTGACAGTGAAGACCGCGACCCGTCTGCAGGATATAATAAAGGTTTGAGGGGAGAGAAGATTCCTGTTGGCCACTGAGCTGAAATCTACGTTTCCCATAAAAATAAATAAATCTTTAAAAAAAAGCAGCATCGGTGTAAAAGCCTGGGGTTCATTTGAGAGAGTGCCACTGAACTGTGGGTGACATTTCCATTTCTGAGTAGGACACACACAGATGCAAGATGATGCTCATTCTGATATTACCAGATAATCTATAAATTCATAACATGCTTAGAACTCATCAGCCAAGAGAGCTGAATTCCAAAGACTTGCTCTCTGAGGACAGAGGGGACAACAGGAACTGTGCAGATTCCTACAGATTCGGAGCTTGGCTGACTATGAGCTCCTGATCCAAGAGAAGCTAGGTTCTCTTGCAGGCTGTCCGCCATTGTTTGCTGTGGAGTCCATCAGATAGACCGGCATGGGGCTGCAGTCGGAAGAAAGCTCCTCTCAGCAGAGCAGGTGCATGGGAGGCAGACAGCTGGCAGTGTGGGGTGTGGAAGGTGGCCAGGTGAACAGATGTGTGGAAAGCAGCTGGCTGCTGCTTGGCCTGGAACACTAAGTGCCACTCGCCTGCACCCTCTCCTCTTACGAAGTAAAAGCTTTAAGCTGTCACTTCCAGGTCTGCTGGGAAAGGAACAGAAACAAAATAGGGAACAATATCTTCCCTATGGTCATAGCAACCAGGCACAGCTCCCCTGCTTCAGAGAAGGATAAAGCCAAAACTACCTCCCCAGAGGAAGGGGATAAAACCGTCCTGCGCTCTGGACCCTACATGAAGCAGCACAAAGCTCAGGCATCCGAACAAACAACTGCAGGGCAGGCAGGAAACGCCGACACAGCACTTCCCAGGGTGGGAAAATGTACAGGAGGGCCAAGGAGGGAGGCCCCACATTACGGCCCATGAGAACAGGTCCTGCTTAAGAGTGAGGCTGGTGAGCAAATGGAACTCTGGGCTCTGAAACAGCACCAATGATCTTGTCTCTAGCATTTCAAAACCTTCTCCCACTTTCCCCCTTTCTCATGACCAGGCTAGCTATTGGAAGAGTATGAAGTCACACCGGAGCATCCTGGTCCATCAGGTAAGCGCCATGACCTTGGCTGATGGCCTCTCGGTATTCACGCTGGGCTTCTTCCTTCTCTTTAATCTGGAAGACATTTATTATTATTTGCTGATTTATTTGAAATGCAGAGAGACAGAGACAAACAGTACTCCATCTGTTGGGCGTGGGCCAAGGTGAATACGGGAACCAGGAACTCAGTCCAGGTCTCAAGGGCAGAAGGACCCAATTACCCGAGCCATCACTGCCATCTCATTGCATTAGCAGGACACTGGAGTCAGCAGTGGAGCTGGACCAGAGTCAGGCACGGATATGGGATACAAGTGTCCCATATTAAGTGTTATCTTAATTGCTGCCAATTGGCTGTCCCTAAAGGTTATCTTAAATTTAATCATTTTTTATTACTTCTGAGTGTGTGCTAATCCTAAAAGAACAAATCGACTTAACTCTTTTGGTACGCTTTTTCTTAGAAACTTTCCAAAAGAACTCTCATTTCAGTTTGACTGCTTCTCTTTAATATTTTTTTATATTCATTTTGTTTCTTTCAAAGAGAGAACTATGGTCTGCTGGTTCACTCCTCAGTTGCCTGTGACCGGTTGACGGTAGATCAGGTGCAAGCTGGGAGCTGAGGACTCTACATGGTCTCTTCTGCATGGCAGGGACCCAGCTGCCTGTCCCACCCTCACCTGTTGTGCCTGACCCATCACCACCTGCTGTGCCTGACCCACCCCCACCTGCTGTGCCTGACCCACCCCCACCTGCTGTGCCTGACCCACCCCCACCTGCTGTGCCTGTCCCACCCCCACCTGCTGTGCCTGACCCACCCCACCTGCTGTGCCTGACCCATCCCCACCTGCTGTGCCTGACCCATCACCACCTGCTGCCTCCCAGGTGCACATCAGTAGCAAGCTGGAAGGGCAGTGAGACGAGAACTTGAACGAGGCACTCCAAATGGAATGGAGGAGTCCTAAATGGCCTTTTTAAAGGAATTGTTTATTTTTATTGGAAATACAGATTTACAGAGAGAAGGAGAGACAGAGAGGAAGATCTTCTGTCCACTGGTTCACTCTCCAAGTGACCATAACAGCCAGAGCTGAGCTGATTTGAAGCCAGGAGCTTCCTCCAGGTCTCCCAAGCAGGTGCAGGGTCCCAAGGCTTTGGGCTGTCCTCAACTGCTTTCCCAGGCCACAAGCAGGGCGCTGGATGGGAAGTGGAGCAACTGGGATAAAAACAGGTGCCCATATGGGATCCTGGCATATGCAAGGTGAGGATTTTAGCCACTAGTCTATTGTGCCAGGCCCCTGAGGTGACATTTTAATAGCTGCACCATATACCTGCCCTGGCTTCACCTTTTTAATTTTAAGATTGATTTATTATTTATTTTAAAGGCAGGGTTACAGAGAGAGAAGAGACATTACATCCACTGGGTCATTCCCCAAATAGCTGCAATGGCCAGGGCTGTCAGGCTAAGTCAGGAGACAGGATTCCATTTTGTTCTCTCCCATGGGTTGCAGGAGTCCCAGTATCTGACTATCCTCTGTTGCTTTCCCAGGCGCATCAGCAAGGAACTGGACCAGAAGTGGAGCACCCATGGCTCGAACTGGCGATCACCGTAGGAGGCAGCTTAACGTGCTATGTCAGAATGTGGCCCTCCACACCCAGCTTGACTTTTATAGCTAGGAGTGCAGATAACAGGTTTTTCCCCTCAGAAATGTATAAGGGGTTTACCAATTTCCCAATGTGCCTGTTTCAAACTTCTGATATTGAAATCATCTTTTTCTAAAGTGCCTAGGCACAGAATTTGCATGACCCTGACAGCTAAGGCTGGATGGGAAGCAGCTGAGCAGGGAGGCATGCTACAGTACGCACTGACCGTGTGCTGGCTCTGTCTCATGCCAACCCAGCCTCACAGCCAGAGCACTCTGATGAAGATCTGGAAGAGTGGGAGACTGGAAGCAAGGTCAGCCCCAAAGAGCTTGCTGCCCTTACCTCTCCTACTATGTGCTTCCCATTGATGAATGCTTCAAAGCCACACACAGCTGCCTTGTCATCCAAAGGAAAGATGTATTTCGCCTCAATGGGCACATGACTTTGATTTGTGTATGTCTGGAAAAAAACCACCTGCCGAAGAAAAAACCCACATGCTGGATGAGTCTATATGCATGACATAAACATGATTACACATATTTGTTTTAAATGCCTTCAGTTTTTATTATATCCCTTAATTTCCTGGCCCTGGCTTCTACAGCCACACATGACACAGTGGCAGGGCTGCCTCCATGCCCTGTAACCCAGTGCACTGGCTGCAGATTCAGGGCTCTGTGCACACCTGATGGAGACCATGGGAACTCTCACCAACACTGCACACAGCCCCATGTGTGCGCTGAGCCTCGTTCCTCTGTCAGGTGGCCTGGCAGCTGATAAGATGCTCCCATTTATCCTGGGGTCATGTCTCACCACCAGGGGTGGGGACTGTCCCACTTGTGGGCCGAAGAAGGCTCACAGAATCATTTAGTCTGGCTCTGCCAAGTCAACCACAGATGGGACTTAATGTGAAATAAATCTATAGCAAGTGAACTCTTGTTTTGTTTTTTTTTTTCCTCAGAGGTTTATTTGAAAATCAGTTATACATATTGGTTACTCAATACCATGTCAACTAATTCCACAAGGTTGTAAATTGTTGCTGATGTTATGTTGGAGCTTTTAATTGATCAGGATGATACTCTGCCGGCTCTATCTTCAGACCAGAGATGGTCTCCCCAAGAAACCGTTGAACTTATCTGGACAATAAGATGCTGGACTTTATGCTTGGTAAATACTTCCAATGAAAGAATCTCAACTGAATTTGAACTGTGGTAATGCAACAAGGTGGAGAAATCTACCATGGGGGAGGGGGGTGGGGGTTAAGGTTGGGGTCAGTAATCCCAGTGCCTATAAAATTGTGTCACATAATGCAATATAATCAATAATTAAAAAAAAGAAAGATTAAAAAAAAAGAAAATCAGTTATAGAGCTAGAGAGAAAGAAATTGATAGATAGATAGATAGATAGATAGATAGATAGATAGATAGGAATCTTTTGTCTGCTGTTTCCCCAGGGCTGGGCAAGGCTGAATGAGGAGCCAGGAATTTCATCGAGGTCTCTCATGTGGGTACAGGGGCCCAAACACTTGGGCCATCTCCTGCTGCTTTCCCAGGGACGTTAATAGAGAGTTGGATAGGAAGTGGAGCAGCCAGGATACAAACAGGTGCTCATACGGGATGCTAGGATCACAAGCGGTAGCTTTGCCTTCTATGTTACAGCTCTGGCCCCAAATCAGTGAATTCCTAAGTTGATACTATCGTATGGTTCACAAATGATGTTGTGCATTTCCCAATAGCCCTTGGCAGAAAAAAGATTGCCAGCCCTGCAGCTCGTGGTAAACTAAAGGATCCTGGGTAGAAAGCGCAGCCGCCAGTGCACAGCAGGGCATCAATTTCGAGTTTTGGGACTGGGAGCTGCAGTTGTTGCCACTTTCTGGTGTCCTAGACAGCGCTGAACTGCCAAGAACTAGCTAGCAAATGTCTAAATGTTACACTCCAAGCATGATTTCGACTGGCCAAACTCTCATGAGGTTGACAAATCCCAAGCGTTGGCATTCTAAGCAGAGATTGGGGAGGTGAAGCAGGGGTCCCAGATGGTCTTTGCCAGGCCAGGTCCACTGGGACAACAGATGGAAGGTGGAGCTCTTCCCCAAAGCCTTTTCTTTGACAAAACCCCGAAGGACACCTGTGCTTGACGAGGATTTGCTAAACTGTCCCACGACAAACGGGGACTCAGTCTAAGTCAACACTTCATCCTGTTCTGCAGGTGACTGTCCCATGCCCAGTCAGCACGCCTGCCTCTACATGCTGAGCTCTCAGAACTTGAGCTCAAGTCAGTCTCATCCCCTTGGTCTATCCTACTGTGTGACTGAGCACTGACCATGCCAGGAGTTACAGAGAATGGTAACAAAAGCATTTTCATCAGAAACTAACACACTGTGAAGATGACTCAACACTTCACTATTTTTTTCCTGTGAGATAGCGCCATTGTATAAGTCAGCTAAAACAATGAATTCACCCCAAGAAGGGTCAACCTGGGTGAGCCAGGCACAGACAACCCTTGGTGTTCACTGTGTGGCCTTCCCCATTTCAGGGCTACAAATGTCATCCTTCCAGTTGCTCAGAACAAAACCCCGGAGCCATTCCTGACTGCAGCCGCTCTCTCAGGCTCTGTTCCTATCCCCAAGCTTCCTGGGTTCACCTGTAGTCCTTTGCTAGCCTCATCCTGCATCCCACTGTGCAGGTGTTGGGCCTGATCACCATCAGCCCTCACTCAGTCCCCTCAGTAGTCCCTATGCTGCAATATGGCTCCAGATGTTTCCTGCCTCCTTGTTTTTACAAAAGATGTATTTATTTGTTGGAAAGTTAGAGTTACAGAGAGAGAGAAAAGACAGAGAAAGAGAGAGAATCTTCCATCCACTGGTTCTCCCCAAATGGTTGCAATGGCTGGAGCTGGGCTGGTCCAGGCTGAAGCCAGGAGCTTTTTCCATGTCTCTCAACTGGGTGCAGAGGCCCAGGCACTTGGGACATACTGTGCCATTTTTCCAGAGTATTTCCAGGGAGCTCGATCAGAAATGGAGCAGATGGTCTCAAATCAGCACCAGAAGGGGAGGCTGGCACTGCAGCTGACGGCTTCACCATCTACATCACAGTGCTGGGCCCCAGACATCCCCTTGGGATCAAGGCATGACCCATCTCGCTTCGCTCCTGCAGCAGGAACAGCCTACGTCTACCGATCGGGGCTGTGGAGGATATAAGCTGACCCCTTGCTTCGGCTTGCATCTCTCTGAAGGGTCACCCAGCGAGAACTGCCAGAGATTCCCAAGGACACTGCCTCGAGCCTCCACTCAGAGTCAGGCAGCAAGTCCCACACCCTAACGTCGGCCTTGGACCCTCTCCCCTTTGTTCTGCTCCCGCCACTGCCCTGCCAGAGTGGCCTGTGTGATGTCACCTGACCGCTCCAGGTCTTTGCCCAATGCCACTCCCTCTGTCTGAATGAGCATCCACTGGATAGCCACACAGCTTAGTTCCCCACTCCTCCAGGTCTGCACTCAGATACTGCCTTCTTGGTGAGGCCTTCCTTGGCTGTCCAAACCCTTCCCTTCCTGATTTTCTTTTTGACTTCGTAACCCGATAGGCACTCAGCTCATTTGTCATGTCCGTCTCCTGTTCCCCTATACAAGCTATGCTCAAGAGGTTGGCTTTTGTGTTGTTCATAAAACTGTCCCTCCTGTGTACTGCCCAGTCAATCACAGTTGATTAAATGGATTTTAGAAATGCATACGGTTTTTTTTAGCTCCTGGAATTGCAATTGGATTCTTACAATTTATACCTATTCAGTTTAACCATCAAAGGACCACAAAGGGCTTACCTGGGCCACGAAGTCTATTATTCTCCCTTTGACGTGAACATTCTCAAGGGGAATCAGATTTCCAGAGGTGTCTTGAAGGCCAGCCTGGGTACTGCTGGGGGCTTTGGTGTCTGGCAACTGGTAATCTGCAGGTTGGGAATGTTAGTGTTAGCTGGTATTTTTACTGTAGCTTGTTCATTTATTTAGTCATTTTCATTCTATTTGCAAGACAAAGAGACAGACGAGAATCTTCTGGGCCTGGCATGACAGCATAGCAGTTAAAGTCTTCGCCTTGAATGCACCAGGATCTCATATGGGCACCGGTTCTAATCCCGGCAGCTCCACTTCCCATTCAGCTCCCTGCTTGTGGCCTGGGAAAGCAGTGGAGGATGGCCCAAATCTTTAGGATCCTGCATCCACTTGGGAGAACAGGAAGCAGTTCCTGGCTCCTGGCTTCGGATTGGCTCAGCTCTAGCCGTTGCGGCCAATTGGGGAGTGAATCATTGTACGGAAAATCTTCCTTTCTATCTCTCCTCTTCTCTGTAGATCTGCCTATCCGATAAAAATAAATAAATCTTAAAAAAAAAAAAAAGAATCTCCCATCTACTCATTCATTCCCCAATGGCTGTAATGGCTAATTCTGGGTCAGGTGGGACCCAGGAACCAGAAAAACTCAGTGGGTACCAGAAACCTGCTCACTTGAGCTATTGCCATTGCTTTCCTGGGTCTGCGTTAACTGGAGGCTTTGCTCAGGGAGCAGAGCTGGGTACTGAACCCAAGCACTCTGCCATAGATGCAGGTGTCTCCAATGGTGTCTTAATGCCAAATGCCAGCCCCCTCACTACACAAAACATAATTAGAAAGTTTCTGTGACTTGTTCATGATGGCACCATGTGGTAGGGTAGACCTGCAAGCCTCAGCTTCTTGGTTCTAAAGCCGTGTCTGCAGTCTGTTCTGTCTTCCCTGCTTCGTTTGGATGCGGTTTGATTGTGTCCCCCAGAAGGTCAAGTGTGGGAGCTTGTTTCCTGGTGTGCTGACCCTGGGAGGTCACGCAGGCTTTTAAGGTGTGCCTGGTGAGTGGTCTCTGGGGCACTGCCCTTGGAAAGCACCAAGAAGGCTCTTGTGGGAGTCCTGCGCTCACTCCAGAGCAGAGTGTTAAAGGAGTCAACCCAGCCCTGACTCACTCTGACTTCCTGTTTTGAGGTGTGGTCTCTTGCTCAAGCTTCTACCATGAAGTTCTTAGCCTATCAACAAGAAAAAAACAATGTAGCTACCCAAACTTTAGGCTCTACATCTGTGAGTCAGACAAGCTTCCTTTTTGTATAAAGTTAGCCTACCTCAGGAATTTCATTATAGTAACCAAAGTGGCCTAATGCACACCCTCCTGTTATGCTTTTTGCACTTGGACAGCTTACAGTGACTGCACTGGCTTTAAGGTTGGCTGTCTCTGAGAACAAGTTCAACCTAAGTGAGCTAACAAAGTAACAAGGAATTTTAAGATCACTTAACCTTTCTCACATTCTGGCTGTCCCATGTCCAAAACAAAAAATAAAATGAAATATTCATGTACGAGGTCAGATATTTTCTTACCAAAAATGAATGTAAGTTTCATGACAAATGTAACAGAATTGTCTTACCTTCAATTTTGGAGCTGTCTGAGAACACAGGAGGTCTGTATTGCTCTAGTTCAATATTGTTAGGAGGCCTAAAGCTCTTTATTTGATCCTCAGGCAGGCAAAATTTAACAATATATTTCATTTTAACCTGATTAGTTTTATATACCACAAATTCGTCATCCTAGCATAAACAGAAAATAGTAAGAGTTAAAGACAACAATCACAACTTGTCATTAGCAAATGTTCTCAAAAGAGCAGGTCAGGTTTGCTAATGCAGATGGCACACATACAATTAATTACATAAATGTAATTATACTGAACATAGCAGAAGCAAAACCTGATGCTGTTCTTTGGGCATTTGGGACTTTGTTGCTTAATATATAAATACCTCAAAATCCGTGTTGAGCGAGGCTGTTCGTGCTACTCCATGCACACTGTGGTAGCCTTCTGGGGCCTCGGTTAAAGAGAAGTCCTTCTGGTCAAATTCTATACACTCCCCGAGGGCCACGTCACAGACAAGCAGGAACCTGGTGCCCTCGGTCTCACCGGGATGTGCATATTTAATAGTTGCACTGCATGTGGAAGGAAATAAACACATATTTCAACTTACAGCTACAGGTCAGTAGCATTTTATAGCAGACCGATCACCCCTTTCTTGAAGTCCCAAATCTGAAGTGTTCTGAAGTCCAAAACATGTTAAGCACTGCGTGGCACCAAGGTAGAGCATGGTACCCAGGCCTCCTGTGATGGGTCACAGTTACAACACAAGTGCGGGGGTCATTGTTATAGCACGGGGGTGAAGTTTGTAGCTGCGATGCCAGCGTTTCACGTCCGTGCTAGTTGGAGACGTGGCAGTTCTACTAAGATCCAGCTCCCTGCTAATGTGCTTGGGAAATCGTGGCAGATGGGAAATTCCTCGGACGCCTGCCTCCATGTGGGAGACTCCTGGTTTTGGCCTGACCCCGCCTGGGCCTTTGCAGCCATTTGGAGAGTTGGCAAGCAGATGGAAGATCTCACTTCCTCTCTTTGCCCGTAACTCTGAGTTTCAAATCAGTAAGATAAACTTTTAAAAACAAACACAAAACAAAATAAGCCACAGGTGTGCTAATCATTGTATACAATGACCTACAGGCTGTTTGCATAAGGTGTATATGAAGCAAAAAACATTTTGTGTTTAGGTTTTGGTCTAAGCCCCAAGATATCCCATTGCATATATGTCAATATTTCAAAAGCTGTGAAACTTGAAAATTAAAACACTTACTGGCCCCATGAATTTAGGGTTGTATTACTGAAATACCTTCCTATAAAGCTATCCCAAAATTCACTGTTATTGAGATTGTTGGAAAGATTCAGCTCTGAACTTTATTATGAGCTTGTTTACTTTAAAGTTCAGAGAGTAAACACATATATGGGCCTTGGTTGTGTCAGGTTGTCTTCAAAACACTTGTTCTCAGAGAAAAGTATATTGCTCCTGCCAATTTTGTTTAGATTTCTGGGTTTTTTTTTTTCAAGATTCATTTAAATTTTTTTGAAAGGCAGACTTACAAACAGGGAGAGAGGGGTTGAGTTTTCATCTGCTGGAACATTCTAAAGAGGCATTCATGGCCAGGGCTGTGCCTGAGCCCAGGCTCTCAAAGACCCTGGCTGCAGAGACTGAGCCCACCCCAGCCCTGGGTGAGCTGCATAACCTGGAGCAAGGTCCTCTGAGTTCCACCAGTGACAGAGAACAGTTAGGGCTTTCCTTGGAAAGAACCTCAGCCAAAACACACAGCAAAGCTCGTGGGAGCGTGCATCACGAAGAGGGTTTCAAATGTAATTTCCCTTAACGTTCGCTGTCAGACAGCCGGTTACAGGACACTGGGAAACCTGGAGCCTTTCAGTGGTTTGTTGCTTGCATAAGAAACTTCCTCATTGGGGAAAGACAGAGGCAAGAAGAGCAAGGCGCAGCATCGATTCCTTGGGAAGCAAGCAGCCGACTCACCTGAGCGAATCACTGAAGTATATTCCACTTCCAAGATTCCCAATGTCTGTTCTGTGCACACCACGATCTTCAACCACTTTGGGTAAAAGCAAACCCCTAGAAAGAAAAGGGTATTATAATGCCCGAGCACAAAAAAAAAAAAAAAAACTGGGGGGACCTCTTATCACAGCCTTGTAATAATAGAAACAGTTGCTATTTAAAAACCTATTAAGGGCCTGGCACGATGGCCAAGTGATTAAAGTCCTTGCCTTGCATGCGCCGGGATCCCATATGGGTGCCAGTTCTAATCCCGGCAGCTCTACTTCCCTTCCAGCTCCCTGCCTGTGGCCTGGGAAAGCAGTCGAGGACAGCCCAAAGCCTTGGGACCCTGCACCCATGTGGGAGACTGGAAAGACACTCCAGGCTCCTGACTTCGGATTGGCTCAGCTACAGCTGTTGCAGCTCACTTGGGAAGTGAACTATTGGATAGAAGATCTTCCTCTCTGTCTCTCCTCCTTTCTGTATATTTGCCTTTGCAATAAAAATGAATAAATCTTTAGAAGAAAAAAAAAAAAACCAAGACACCAGCACCCGACATCAGAGTACTTGGGTTTGATAGATGGATCCAGCTTCTGACTACAGCTTATTTTTTTTTTCTTTAAAAGATTTGTTTAGGGCCCGGCGTGGTGGCGCAAGTGGTTAAAGGTCCTCGCCTTGCACACCCCAGGATCCCATATGGGCGCCGGTTCTATCCCGGCAGCCCCGCTTCCCATCCAGCTCCCTGCCTGTGGCCCGGGAAAGCAGTCGAGGACAGCCCAAAGCTTTGGGACCCTGCACCCGTGTGGGAGACCCAGAAGAGGCTCCTGGCTTTGGATTGGCATAGCATTGGCCGTTGCGCTCACTTGGGGAGTGAATCATTGGACGGAAGATCTTCCTCTCTGTATATCTGCCTTTCCAATAAAAAAATAATAAAAATAAATCTTTAAAAAAAAGATTTGTTTAATCTTTTAAATAAAAGTCTACCAGTGCAGTAGACTAGTGGCTAAAAAAGTCCTCGCCTTTTTCACCCAGGATCTCATATGGGCGCTGGTTTGTGTTGGTGGCTCCACTTCCCATCCAGCTCCCTGCTTGTGGCCTGGGAAAGCCTGTATATCTGACTGTCCAATAAAAATAAATAAGCCTGAACATTTTTATTTAATTATATTGAAATGTCAGATTTATAGAGAGGAAGAGAGACAGAGAGGAAGATCTTCCATCTGTTGGCTCACTTCCCAAGTGGCCACAACAATTGGCTCTGAGCCGATCCAAAACCAGGACCCACAAGCTTCTTCCACATCTCCCAGGCAGGTGCAGGTGCCTAAGGCTTTGGGCTCATCCTCTACTGTTGCCCAGGCCACAAGCAGTGGGCTGGATGGGAAGTGGAGTAGCTGGGACACGAACTAGTGCTCTGATTGGGTCTCGGCAGGGTGAGGATTTAGTTATTTAACCATCATTCTGGGAACTTAATTCATGTAGTTTTATAATAGGTTTAATACCAATTGTTTAATTCTCTGTCATTATTCTTCACCTTCAAAATTATCATGGTAATGCCAAAAAATTTTTTTTAAATATATGTAGTTAAAATCTATTCTCATTTTTTGTTCAGTTTCTTAAGGATATATTTACTTCTTTCAAAAGCAGAATAGCAGAGAGAGAGATAGCTTTAATTTGTTGGTTTATGCGATCTATGGCCATAATAGTCTGTGCCAGACCAACGTCAGGAGCTGGAAACTCTTTCCGGGTCTTCCATGTGATGATAAGGGCCCAGGCACTCAGCCCTCCTCTGCTGCCTTACACGCACAAGCAGGAAGCTGGGTCATAAGCCAAGAAGCCAGAACTTCCAACAGCCCTCTGAGATGGGGTGGCGGAGTTGCAAATGCAAGTTTAATCTGCTTCTAACTTCTTTCAAAATGTATTGATTAATTTGAAAAGAACTGGCATCCTTTAGATGAACACAAATGTCTTTTGAGTCCATCAACAGCATTTTTTGTTTGCTTGTTCTTTTTAAAGAAGATTTATTTATTTGAAAGACAGAGTGACACAGCGAGAGGTAGACAGAGATTTTCCATGTGCTGATTCGCTCCTCAGAAGCCTCCAGGAGCCAGGCTGGGCTGAGCTGAAGCCAGCTCCTCCATGGGGAGCAGGGATGCAGGTGCTAGAACCATCATCCGCTGCCTCCATCAGCAGGCAGCTGGCTAGCTGGGCTCAAACCACACACCCTGTACGGGTTTAAGCATCTTAAGTGACAGCAGTTTAAGTTTTTTTCCAGGTGGATCTTGTATTTCTTTATTTATTTTTCTTTCTTTATTTTTTTGAAAGTCAGATATACATAGAGGAGGAGAGACAGAGAGGAAGATATTTCATTGGATGATTCACTTCCCAAGTGACCGCAGCGGCCGGTGGTGAGCTGAACTGAAGCCAGGAGCCAGGAACTTCCTGTTCTCCCATGTGGGTGCAGGGTCCTGTGGCTCTGGGCTGTCCTCGATGGCTTTCCCAGGCCACAAGCAGGGAGCTTGATGGGAAGCAGGGCTGCTGGGATTAGAACAGGTGCCCGTATGGGATCCCAGGGCTTTCAAGACGAGGACTTTAGCCGCTAGGCCACACTGCCAGGACTGTTTGTTTTTTTTTAAAGTACTTAGAGGATCAAATTTAATCTTATTCCCCCCTTCACTCATAAGCTTAGTTTTAGCATTAATGTTAAGTCAACAGAAAACTAGAGTTATGTTTTGATTTGGAAACTCACATATAGGTACTCTAATTTCTAGAATTATCTCTTTCAATACTGGGCAGTTCTCAGATTAGTGACACATGAAGAGCCTTGCAATACACAATCACTTGTCGTCATATGATACAGTCTTCCAGGGGCAGTTCATACCCACACAACACAACTTTAAAAAGCAAGAACTACACCATTTAAAGGATATGCTTAGTGATGAGGTGTTTAATTTTCTCTAGAAGTCGGCTGGCTGAGAATTTAGAAAATTCTAGAAAAACTAGGGGAAAAACAAAACGTGTCACCCCCGGGAGGCTGCTCGTACCGGGACAGGATTCCTATGAGGTTACGGACTGGAGATCCATGTAACAGGAGCCTCACGTTGCCCAGTTTGCTGAGAAATTCGGTGGTTTCATTCACTCTGCCGACTCGAAACATCTGCAAGATGTTCACACGATGTTTCCTGTAAGAGACAGAAGGAAAACCTTGAGATCACATATTGAGAAGCAAAAGACACACACAAAATCATGATTGTCAAGGTAAACGCCTATTGTCAGAAAGCTGAATCAAGAACTTACAACATAGCCTGGAAAGGGTTTCCTATTGAAAATCTTTTACGTGTTGATTTGAGGGACAGAAGGAGAGACCTCTCAAACTCTGGTCCAGGCCCTAAATGCCCGATGCCCGAGGATGGACTGCCACCAGGAGCCAGGAACTCCATCTGGGTCTCTCCATGGGTTTGGCAAGAACTCAGACACTTGGCTCATCTTCTGTTCCCTGGGATATACACTACGAAGAATCTGGAAGGGACCCCAGGTACCCCAATGTGGGAGGCAGGCATCTTATCTACTGGGCCAAACGTCTGTTCTGAAAAACACCAACTTACTGAGCTTACGGTAAAAGAAAACGTGTAAGTTAAGTTTAACATTTTATACATAGGCTAATCCCAAATCTTGTCAAATACATAATATACAGTGTACAGTTCCACTCACATATAAGAATAAAGTGGGAAGGAGCACTTGTTCGGCAGCATATATGCTAAACAACAACAACAACAACAACAAAAACAAAAAACAAAAAACAAAAAAACACCCAAATGGGAGGCTGGCATTGCAGCACGGTTGGTGAAGCCGTGCCACTTGCAATGCGGGCATCCCATGAATTGCCCGTTTGTGTCCCGTTTGCTGCACTTCAGATCCATCTCCTTGACAAGGGTCTGAGAAAAGCAGCACAAATGCGAAGACAGCACAGTGCTTGGGCCTGGATGATGCCCTGGCTCTGCCTTCAGCCCGCCCCAGTCCTGTGGCCACCTGGGGAGTGGACCAGAAAGATCTTGCTCTCTCCCCCTCCCTCCAACCCTCCACCCCTCCTTCTCTCTGTCTCTCAGCTCTGGTCGTTGCAGTCACCTCGGGAGTGAACCAGCGGATCCAAGTTCTTTCTGCTCTCATTTTCCTGATAAATCTGCCTGGCTGATAAAAATAAACCAATCTTTAAAAAAGTAATAATAATAAAATTAAGAAGGTTCTGAGATGTTTCCTTTTGGCTTACCCGTGATTGTTCTTTAGTATCTCCTTTTTAATGCTAAGAAACTCTTCAGTATTCTGTTCAACGTGCTCAATTTTGCACCTCAAAGCTCGGTATTTGGCAAGAGATGGTGGGTTGGGTTTGGAAAAATTAGTTTCACAGACATTAACCATGTCTCTTATTAGCTGTGGGTGGAAACGGTACACAGACATCAGACTCAATACATATCAAAACATGAATATTTATATTCTATTGATATGTTCTCAAAAAGAATGGGAAAGTCATTTTTTTTCCCCAAAGCTTTACATCAATGTTTGCTGTTTGTACTGTATTAAAGTTAACAAAGTTCGCTATCTGATTGCACAGTATACAATGTTAATAATACAAACACGAATCTAGCATATTATTGTTAACAAGATATAAATACACTATTCACTTTAGTTTTAAATATTTGAAAGGCAGAGTGACAGAGGAGAGATAGGGAGATGTGTTCCACCTGCTGCTTCAGTTGCCCGGGCAGGGCGGAAGCTGGGAGAACCATCGGGGTTCCCTGTAGGCCACGATATTGGTCATCACGGCATTTATTTGTCCTCACCACAACACCAAAGTAGCTTATTATCCTCATTGCTCAAAAAAAAAAAAAAGTCAAAAAGTTCATGGAAAATACATCGAAGGAGAGACTATTGACAGATTTCAAAAGCCATTTTGTAGCAAAATAAAATTTAAATCCATTTTCGCTTTTTGAAGAACTATCATGCAGATAAGTGAGAGTTTGAGAACTGAAATCAATTGTTTCAGGTCCGTCGGTGAGCAGGGACAGTGAATAAATGCGATTCAGGATTAGTAGATTTCTGATCTATTTCAGGTTATTGGAGAATGCGCTGTGTTCTGTACTCCGGGTGTGCGGGCCTGAGCTACACAGCCGACCACACACATGACGGGGGAGCTGTGAGATCCTACAGGACATGCAACCTCCCTGTCGTCCAGAGGCTATGACTACCGTGACGTCACGGGACGAGGTGTTGGAGACGCCGGTGTAAACACGCCTTCAGCACCGCCAGCACACGTCACGTCATGACGTCACAGGACGGGGTGTTGCAGATGCTGGTATAAACACGCCTTCAGCACCGCCAGCACACGTCACGTCATGACGTCACAGGACGGGGTGTTGGAGATGCTGGTGTAAACACGCCTTCAGCACCGTCAGCACACGTCACGTCATGACGTCACAGGACGGGGTGTTGCAGATGCTGGTGTAAACACGCCTTCAGCACCGCCAGCACACGTCACGTCATGACGTCACAGGACGGGGTGTTGCAGATGCTGGTGTAAACACGCCTTCAGCACCGCCAGCACACGTCACGTCATGACGTCACAGGACGGGGTGTTGCAGATGCTGGTATAAACACGCCTTCAGCACCGCCAGCACACGTCACGTCATGACGTCACAGGACGGGTGTTGGAGATGCTGGTATAAACACGCCTTCAGCACCGCCAGCACACGTCACGTCATGACGTCACAGGACGGGGTGTTGAGATGCTGGTGTAAACACGCCTTCAGCACCGCCAGCACACGTCACGTCATGACGTCACAGGACGGGGTGTTGCAGATGCTGGTGTAAACACGCCTTCAGCACCGCCAGCACACGTCACGTCATGACGTCACAGGACGGGGTGTTGCAGATGCTGGTGTAAACACGCCTTCAGCACCGCCAGCACACGTCACGTCATGACGTCACAGGACGGGGTGTTGGAGATGCTGGTATAAACACGCCTTCAGCACCGCCAGCACACGTCACGTCATGACGTCACAGGACGGGGTGTTGCAGATGCTGGTGTAAACACGCCTTCAGCACCGCCAGCACACGTCACGTCATGACGTCACAGGACGGGGTGTTGCAGATGCTGGTGTAAACACGCCTTCAGCACCGCCAGCACACGTCACGTCAGCAGCACACCATACGGGATGATGAACGGAAGCCTGTTATTGGCTTATTGATTTCTTATACCATATTTTTGTCATTATTTTGCATGCTCAGGTGTCCTGCGAAAGTCTGCCAGTTGTGCTGGCAGTACCTCATCCATCTTGTGTTAACCGTGTGTCCTGAGGGACTGACCTATGTCACCTACGGCTGTGCAAGCATGACGAGAACGCAGACTAACACCTCGAACCTGAAAATCCTAAATCTAAAGTGGACCGAAGCACTGGCATTCCCTACTTGATCTCATAGGATGAGTCCCACTCAAGAAGCAGGTACATAACAATATTATATTAAATTACCCTCTGAAAAAGAAAAAAAAAAGGAAAAAAGAAAAAAAAACAAAGAAATAAATTATCTTCTGGCTATGTACATAAGTTTTATAGGGAACAAATGAATTTTCTGTTTTTACTTGGATCCAATTCTCATGTCTCATTTCATTTATGCAAAAACATTACAAGTATGCATTCACATATATGCAAACCCTGAAAAAAATCTGAAATGTAATACTTCTGGTTCTAAGCATTGTAGATAAGGGATTCTCAACCTGTACATATTTATATAATTATTTGCAAAAATAAACTCTGCAAAGGCAACAAAACAAAATGGTTCCGTGTTATGGAAAGGAGATGGTTGCAGGGGACAGAGTGGATCAGAGATTTCTCTGAGCATATCTTTTTAACATCATTTTGACTTCTGAATCATATAGATATTTTAATCTATTCAAAAGACAATTTCAAACTAAAAAGTTTGGAAGGGTTGGCATTGTCGTGCGGCAGGTTAGATGTAATGCCGATATCCTGTAACAAGCTTGCCAGTTTCAATCCTGGCTTCTCGTTAACGTGCCTCGGGAAGCAGTTAAGGATGGCCCAGGGGCTTGGTCCTTGCCACCCGTGTGGCGATCAGGATGGCGTTCCAGGCTTCTCATTTCAGCCTGGCCCAGATTGGCTATTGTAGCCATTTGGGGATCAGTGGATCTGTTTTTTTTTTTTTCCATCTTTATCTCTGTGTGTCACCCTGCCTTTTGAATAAGTAAATACATATTAAAAAAATAATCATAAAAAGTAATCTGGGAGACCAGCACCATGGTGTAGTAGGCTAATCTTCCATCTGCAGTGCTGGCATCCCACATGGGTGCTGGTTCAAATCTCTGGCTCCACTTCCAATCCATCTCAGCTACAGTGATTGTGGCCATTTGGGGAGTAAAGTAGCAGATGGAAGATCTGTTTCTCCTTCTCTCCATAACTCAACTCTTCAAATAACAAAATAAAAAAATATATATCAAACTTCAGAAACCGTATTTGACTGAGTGCCATGTTTCCTCTGAGCAACCCCGACCATGAGATTCTATTTCTTAGGAAGGGGTCTTTATCTGCTTGCTTGGTGATTATTTTTGCTAGTTTTGAACTTCTGACTCCTCTGAACATCTGTCCGAAGCCATCATTTGCTGCAAACATGCAGTGTTCCACATCTACAAACTCTGGAACTGCAATTCTCGATTCCCTAACCTGCCCCAGGCCGTTCCCACACAGAAGGGGCCTGAGTGTGACTTCAGCCTTATCAGGAGCTGCAAGGCCAGCGTGCAGCCGCTTCCTCTCTACTGAAAGAGCTCAGGGCAGGTGGCCTACTTCTGATGTGGCCCAGTAATCCACTCCCGTCCCCAGGGCAGCCCATGCGACTCAGGTCCTACCAGAGATGCACACAATTGCAGGAGACTTTCTGAGACAGAAAAGGAAAGAATCCAGATGGGATGCTGGAAACATCTTTAGCTCTACTCTGAGCGTGAGGGAGGCAGGCTGGGAGGGGAAAGGCATTGAGCCAACCCGAGGAGTCAACTGGGCCATCAACTGGGCCATCAACCACCCCACATCTCATTGTCCTAAAGTCCTTGGGGTTGAAGCCCATGGCAGTTTTCTTCTGTAGAAAAAAAATCTTACTTCATCTATTGGTCTGGAAAATTATTTTCACAATGCAGAGATCCTAAACAGATTCCCGCATTTGTATGTGTGAGGAATCTACATTAGAAAACTTCCCCAAGAACCCAAAGGTCCAACATCTTGCAAGACCTAGGTGGTCGCCGACGCTCCTTGCACCTCGCCATGCCATTCAAGGACACCAAGAAAAAGAGAGATGCCAGGAAGCCAGCCAAGAAGCATAAGGACCCTGTGAACAAACGGGGGTGGGGGGGAGGAGGGGTGGACAATGCCAAGAGGAAGTGGTCCAAAGGGAAAGTTCAGGGCAAGCTCGACAATCTGTTTCTGTTTGACAAAGTCACATGGGACAAACTCCACAAGAAAGTCCCAACTACAAGCTCATCATGCCTGCTGTGGTCTTGGAGAGACTCAAGATCCGAGAGTCCCTGGCCAGGGCAGCCCGGCAGGAGCTCCTGAGTAAAGAACTTATTAAACTGGTTGCAAAGCACAGAGCTCAAGAAACACCAGAAATACCAAGAGTAAAGATGCATGAATGGGTCCAATGAATCGTATATTTGGAAAAGTCAAGTTGTATTTTAAAAAAATAAAGAGAGAAAGAAAAGAATTGAGAGCACATTGGACCCTGTGAGTGATGACTCAATCGGCTAACCATCCACCTCCAAGTGCTGGCATCCCATATGGATACTGGTTCGTATCCCAGCTATTCTACTTCCATTCAGCTTCCTGCTTGTGGCCTGAGAAAGCAGTAGAGGATGGCCTAAAGCCTTGGTAGCCTGCACCTAAGTGAAAGACAAAAAAGCTTCTGGCTCCTGGCTTTGGATTGGCTCAGCTCTGGCCGGTGTGACCATTTGGGGAGTGAACCAGTGGACCGAAGATCTTCCTCTCTGTCTCTCCTTCTCTCTGTGTATATCTGCCTTTCCAATAAATAAGTACATATTTTTAAAGATTGGTCTACTCCCAAGCATAGCTTAAATTGAATTTCCTATTTCAGAGTTTTACCTGGCATAGGTCCTCCTCCTTAGCCAAGAGCTTCAGGTTGACTTCTTCGGGGCCTGGGGCTTTGTGAGGTATTAATCTGTAGAATTCAGCAACCACCTTTCGCAAGTGCTGTGCTGTTTCTCCATTCTTCAGTGCAGACTTTGCTAGAAGGAGAATTCCCTCTGCCTTGCTCACCTTTAAGAGAAGTTAAATGTGTTTATTAAAATGAAATCTTGATGGTCGTAAGTGAAGGCACATATATAACCATCTCAAACACAGCTGGCGGGTGCATCACCGCTCTGCGATGTACCATCAGCCGTTGGCAAGCTGAGAACACCTGGACTGCAGACACATCTCACTTGTCCTGATTCCTCCAGAACTGGGCTCGTAGGCAGCCTGTTTCTGTATGTGGTGAATCTGTATACATACATACACAAGAGTACTTCAACATATTCAGTAAAATTGGTCTGGGGAAACACACTGAAAATCTCTTCCCAGTTTTCCCATGAAGCTTTTGAAGAACACCGATTTACACACAGAGAAGGGAAAACCGGTACAGCTATAGGAGATTGGCTTTTTCCATGGGAAATGTGGAAAGCTATCATATCAAATCAAGAACAAAATCCACAGATCACATTTCTTATTACACAAGAGCTTCATGCTTGTTACCTAAGGAAACATTTGTTCCCCAAATAAAAAAGTTTAAACCTACAGAGTAAAATTGTACTGCCTTCATATAACATTGCAGGTGCACAAGGTGCCTCACAAGGGAGATGCTCTTTCACTAGCAATTGAACACACTAAAGAGTGAAGCACGCTTTCTGGGGGACTGCAAGTGCACCTGCCTTATCCAAAACACTCAGAAGGAGCCAGGGTGGGTGTAGGACAGCTAGGCTAGGTCTTGGAATCTGTTGAACCATGTAAGAGCTGAGTCGGGTGGTGGACCAGGCAGTGCTGTGCTGTAATATTCAATGTTAAGAGCCAGAATGGGTATGGGCCAGTCAGGCAATGTTGCCATACCTGCCAGGACAGGATGTGGGACAAGTCAGGCTGGAAAAAGAACCCACCAACACAGGCAAGATCTCCAACTGGGAGGCGACCTGACAGAGGAGCTATGGGAACTCCTCGGTCAGGATATAGTCCCTGCTGGTGAGTGCAAGAATCTCAGCTGGGAGCAGCCCAGATCAGGCCAGGTTATAGTACCCACCAGCATACATGTGGCTCAGGTCTGGGGGTGGGCCAGGCTAGGCCAGTTCACAGCACCCACTGGCAGATGTGAGAACCAGGATGGGGTATGTGACAGGCTGGTTGGGCCGCAGCACCAGCCAGTTCACATTAGTGCTGAGACTGGGGACTGAATGGGCTGGGTTAAGATGAAGCATTTATCAGCATGAGAAGGTACAGGCTAGGCTGAACCAGGCCAGACTGGACTACAGAACACACTAGCATATGTAAAACACTGAGGCAGGAGGGAGGGGGGAAGGGGAAGAGCCCAGTAGTGGGGCTACAGGAGCTCCCCTGCTGGGTCAGTGCTCATACTGGTAAGTGTGAGAGCTAGGACTGGGGGCAGACCAGGCTGGGCAGGGATACAAAGCCCACTGGCCTGCATGTGAGCTGGGTTAGGGGGAGAGCCAGGCTTAGCTAAGTGACTAATGCAGGAGCCAGAGTAAATGCAAGTTGACTGAGCTTTGCCTGAGCATCAGCTGGCAAGTGCAGGGAATGGGGGCAAGTCCTGTCACTCTAGACCACAGAACCACCTGGAAAATGCAAGATCTGGGGCTGGGAGTAGGCCTAGTAGGCAAACTATGGGCACCCCCTGAGGGGCTGCAGCTCCCACCAGTGAGTGTGAGAACCAGGACTGGGGGCAGCACTGACTAGACAGGTGGTGGCATCCACCAGCATGAGAGTGGGCTGAACAGTGCAGTAACTTGGGCTGAATTAGGCTGCAGCACCCAATGGTGTCTATGAAAGTCAAAAGGGATGTGAGACAGACTGGATCAGTCTACTGCACATACTGCCATGCACAGGAACCATGGCTGAGGGCCTAGTGTGGGTTATTGGGAGTCACTCTGACTGGGCCGTGGTTCTCACTAGCGTGGGTTAGGGCTGCGTGTATGGTGGGCTGCGTGTATGGTGGGCAGGGTTGGCCTGGGCAGGAGCATCCATTGCTTTGCCTATGAGATAGGCCTGGGGACAGGACTGACCATGTCAGCAACTACAAACACCAGTGTATGTGTGGGTTGATGCAGCTGACAGGCTGAGCCAGACTCCACACTGGCTGGCACACACAGGAGTCAGGGCTGGGATCACCTCTGGTGAGGTTGCTTTGGATACCTCCACAACTGGACCACTGGACTCAGAACTCCAACCACAGGATCTGTGCTCTGATCACGGAGTGCAGGTGTCATAACTGGGGCTGCTTGCTTGCTGAAGGCTGTGCACTGGACGGCGTGCCCAGATGCACAGGAGGGTATCTGACAGATCACTGAGGCTTGCAGAGCACAGCCAGTGACATGGCAGGCGATAGAGGGCAGGACAAATGGGACAACTCTGCTGGCCAAGCTTGGATAGCAAGCATCTGGGTGAACTGAGACTCTGAAGTGGACTATGTCAGCCAGTGGAGCTTGGAAGGATTTCCTCAAGCTTGGAGCAATGAAATGAACAACACCTCAGAACTACTGGAACCACTTGCTCAGACCCCTCGGAACACGCTCCACATCAGTGACCCTGGGATGACATTGAGTGGCCGTCCCACATTGCCAGGTTAGATTGCTGGCTAGAATGCGGTTAGGAGGCTGGATGTGACCCTCTAACCCCTCCCCCTAGATATGGGAAGAAGAAAAAGAAAATGGAAACAATTGTCTCACCCACTTTTCCTATTCTGAAACCTTTCCCAGCCTAATCAGTGGTCCTCATGGGCATGCATCCTTGTCAACTATGTAAACATCATAAAAAAAAAAACAGGGCCCGGTGCGGTGGCGCAGTGGTTAAGGTCCTTGTCTTGCACACCCGGGATCCCATATGGGCGCTGGTTCTAATCCCGGCAGCCCCGCTTCCCATCCAGCTCCCTGCCTGTGGCCCAGGAAAGCAGTCGAGGACGGCCCAAAGCTTTGGGACCCTGCACCCACATGGGAGACCTGGAAGAGGCTCCTGGCTTCAGATTGGCATAGCATCGGCTGTTGCGCTCACTTGGGGAGTGAATCATCGGATGGAAGATCTTCCTCTCTGTCTCTCCTCTCTGTATATCTGCCTTCCCAATAAAAATAAAACAAATCTTTAAAAAAAAACACGCTCAGAAGATATGAGACTATGACGCACATTAATGCATAGGGCTCTAACTTGGACCAAGACCACCCATGGCCAACAGGCCTAGCTCAAGTGTCTTGGCCTCCTAATTAGCCCACACTGAAGGCTGATTTTTGATCAGCCTGCTGCTGATAATGCCAGACGGGGCTGTCTGGTTTCCTGGGGGAGCTTGGAGCACCTTGCCCAGCATGCATACATAAGCGCTAGAATCCAAGCAGTAGCTTATCCTGTTGTGTCTCTAAGACCCACTGCACTTACATCGTTGAGGCTGATGCTGTTCACGGGCTTGAGCAGCGTGTGCTCTAGGTGGCCCAGAACTTCCGTCCACAACAACTCCACCAAGTCGCTCACCTCCGGGCTCAGAGGGCCGGCACCCATGACCTCCTCCAAAAGCAGCTGCAATGGCGACACAAAAATGACTCACAATCAACCAGGCATCGCGTGTGAGTGGATGAAAACACACCTGGGCCAGTGAGCAGAGGTGAGTTGTTGACCTCGGCCTGGTGTGACCGTGTGGATACAGCTGGACTGTGGCCCTCCAGGGTTCCCAGCGTGGTGGCGTTGAGGCCCTCAGATATTTTGCAAGATGCCAGGTCACTGTAATTTCCCTCCCGCCATTTCCTCCATGCACCTTTTCCGAATCTGTGATACCCGTCCCATCATCATCTCTATTCTCCTGCAATTTTTCTGCCTGCCTTTGCCTTTCCCCTCATGAGCTCCAAGTCTGTGACTGCCATTAAGCTCAGGCAGTCAGGGCTGACGATTCTTGCTCATGGCTCCACACCTTTCTATGGGGTCACTTACCCTTTTCCTAAATCCTGCTTTTCTGTCCTCCCAGTCTTTTTAGTGTAAGAAAGAAAACATTCGTCTCAAAACATTAAGTCAGCAACACAAAATAACATGCACAAATCAATCTTACGGCTTGCAGTTTTTCAGATGCTAATTGGGTGGCTTGGAGTGTGAAGTGTTCCCTGAGCAGAAATCCTTGCTTCTTCAGTTCTTCAATGTAATTTGCATAGTATTCGCTTGCATCTGCAGCGGTTTTCTTGACAGCGAACTGTCTTCTAGTCTGTGAATTATAGTACACAGCAACTTATTAACACATCCATTTTAACGGACACCTACTACGTGGTGAAAGACACATTAGATCTGTACTGTGAAGGGGTTTCTTCAATGTTCAGGTCTTGGGTAACAGCCTAAAACCTGGAAGCAGTGAAGAACAGCAGACACAAAAGGCCATCTGAGTCCTTGGAGTCACTCCAATGATCATTTAGAACCCTCATTTTACCCACTATTCTAGCTTTGAAGTCTGGCACGATCATTGCCACTGCTCGGGCTATCGCCTGTCACACTGCAGCATCCAAGTTCAAGTCTCAGATCCTTTGTGTTCAATGTAAAGACCTGCCAATGCACATCGCAGGAGGCAGCAGGTGAGAGCTCAAGGTCATGGGTCTCATCTGTCCGTGTGGGAGAGCTGGATAGAGTTCCTTGCTCCTGACTTCAGCCTGGCCCAGCCTCAGATATTTTGACACTGGGGAGTGAAGCAGTGGACGGAAGATCTCTGTCACTTTGTCTCTCTCTCTCCCTGCCTCTGGGCTTTTTACATACACTGAAAATAAACACACACACAAAATTATTTTTAAGTAGGTAGAGTGTATCATAATTTTGAAATATTTCCATCAAAATGTTTTTTTTTTAATTATTTTTATTCATTTGACAGGCAGAGAGAAAGGGAGAGATGGAAACTGACAGATTTCCATGTGTTGATTAACTCTGCAAATGCGTTCAACAGCCAAAGAAGCCAAGAGCCCGGATCACCATCCAGGACTCCCGTGTGCGCAGAGGAATGGAACTGCTCGGGTTATCCAGGGTGCTCTTAGTAGGCCACTGGGTTGGGAAGAGAAACCAAGACTTGAACTAAGGCATCTGGTTGTGGAATGTGGGTTCCTCAGGACTACGTCGCTCACAACACCAGATGCCTGCCCCAACACAATTCTGTTCAAAGGGCAAGCTTGAAAACTTTCTTCTGCAGAAGGCCTTAAGAAAAGATTACTTCTTTTTTTCTTCTTCTTACTTCTTTTTAAAAAGATTTATTTTATTTTTATTGGAAAGGCAGATATACAGAGAGGAGGAGAGACAGAAAGGAAGATCTTCCATCTGTTGACTCACTCCCCAAGTGACAGCAATGGCCGAAGCTAAGCCAATCTGAAGCCTGGAGCCTGGAGCCTCTTCCGGGTCTGCCACGCAGGTGTAGGATCCCAAGGTTTTTTAGGCCGTCCTTGACTGCTTTTCCAGCCACAAGCAGGGAGCTTGGTGGGAAGTAGGGATGCTGGGATTACAGTGGGTGGCCATATGGGATCCCAGCGCTCGCAAGGCGAGGACTTGAGCTACTAGGCTACCACGCTGGGCCTTCTTTTTATTATTTTATGGTTCAGTTCCATAGGTTCTGGGATTTCTCTTCCCTCTTCCTCAAGCTCCCTCCTCCCCCGCCACTGATTTTCCCCATATTATTACACTAGTATAGTCCTTCACAGTCCTTAGTCTGTCGTTGTGTTATTTAAGTGTATCCTGAGATTGTAGGTATGGACAATGGCAGAAGATCTAGCACACAGTTGTCAAGATATATTTAGCAGTTTCACTGGGAGTCCATCTTTGATTTGGAAGTAGAGATGCATACTGCATTGTATCTTCACATCTGGATATGATGGTCCCTATTATACAGTTACTATACATCCCGTTAGATGAAAAGTCATAAAACAAAATCAACAACAGATGGAAAAATAGGAAATTTACAGTAACATGAAGTTAAATAACATGTTACTGAATGACCAATGAGCAGCTGGAAATGAAAAAGAAAGAAAAAAACGAGGTCATTCCTATAAGGTGACAGGCTCACCTACGGAGAGTCCTAGACTGGCTTGCTAAGGGAAGAAGGCACCCTGGAGGGATGGGAGAAAAATCATAACCTCCCATCACAACGTTCAGCTTGATTTTCACTGTTTTTTTTTTTTTTTAACCCAACTAAATCTAGTGTACATTTTTGGTTCAGACTTAGCAAACCCTGTTTCCTGGATGCATCTGACATCCGGTTAACTTTCTCGCTCTTTGCAGGGACACATGATGGCAACAGAATGTCAGCTGTGATATGACAACACTGCTTAGCTAACAGTGGCCTCTCACAGCTACACTGAGCAGGCACTGAGAGGTGGTGGGAGAACAGGGGAGCCCCACACTTCGGGCTCCCTCCCGGGGATCACCCACGGAACAGGCACTTCCCTTGGCGGCAGCTGCAACCCAAGCTGCTGTTGGGAGAGAAATGGGATCTGTCAGCCACGTGGTCCTGTCTCCACCTGGGCATCCTGGCCTTGAAGCGAGCCTGACATCTGGAGAGCAGGCCCAGCAATACACTTCCAATGCTACTGACAAGCGACTGAGTGTTCTGCTTACAAAACCCACTGGTGGATCTCATAACATTTAATTTGAACTGTAGGCCTTAACTGACTTCCTTTGGTCTCATACTTGTGATTGAAACTGTGCTCTTGAGTTAATGTTGACCTAGAGCAAGGGTCATGACCTTTGTACCGCCTCCAATGCCATTTCCAGGACCCTGAGACCCCAATCCTTGAAGCTTTAGACACACTTAAATATCAGAGCTGTCACAGTAGGTTGCAAAGACACGTGTGCTGCTTCCATCCAAGAGGTGAGTTTTTGGAGTCAAAGTTCTAGCTTTGGGTCTCAGCTGTAACAGATTCTGACTACACGGCAGGTGCTTGCTGCAGCGTGCTAAGGGATTGTTTAGGAAAATGTCCCATAAGTGGTGTGGAACGAGAGCAGAAACCCCATGTCTTCCACTCAGTAAATACTCTCCCTGTCTACGTCGCTCTGGTCTGGGCAACTACCCCTTCTCCCTCCATCACTCCAAAGGGAACCTATTTCTACTCTGCTGAACTACTTACCAGGTGTTATGAGCTGAATGGTGCCCACCTACCCCAGCACTTCAGAATGGGACTGTATATATAAACAGTCTTTAAGAAGTAATGAAGTGTGGCCCGGCTGCGTGGCCTAGCCACTAAAGTCCTCGCCTTGAACGTGTCAGGATCCCATGTGGGTGCCGGTTCTAATCCCAGCGACCCTACTTCCCATCCAGCTCCCTGCTTGTGGCCTGGGAAAGCAGTCAAGGATGGCCCAAAGCCTTGGGACCCTGCACCCGTGTGGGAGACCCGGAAGAGGCTCCAGGCTCCTGGCTTCGGACTGGCTCAGCTCCAGCCATTGCAGCTGCTTGGGGAGTGAACAATCAGATGGAAGATCTTCCTTTCTGTCTCTCCTCCTCTCTGTATATCTGACTTTGCAATAAAAATAAATAAATCTTAAATTATTTTTAAAAAGAAGGAATTAAGTGGGTCTGGCATTAGCATACAGGAGGCTAAGCCACTGCCTGCTGAGTGCTCACCCGTGAAGCCATTACGCCATAAGAGAGCTGATTCTAGTTCTGGCTGCTCCACTTCTGCTGCAGCTTCCTGCTGATGACCCTGGGAAAGCAGTGGGAGTCAGGCCAATTTCTTGGACTCCCGGATGGAGTTCCAAGTTCCTGGTGTGGTCTGGCCCAGTCCTAGCAATGACCACCATTTGGGGAGTGAAACAGGAGATGCAAGATCCTTCACTGTGTAACCCCGCTTTTCAAATAAATACATTTTTCAAAGTGGCAATTAAGTTAAACAAGGTCAAGAGGCAGGAACTGATCCAACATGACGGGTGTTCTTATGAGAAGACTTTGACAGAGGAGCACGTGAGGAGCCCTGCAGGAAATCAACCCTGCTGCATGCCATCTAGGACCAGCAGCCTGAGACGAACACGCGCCTGTTGTCTGAGCGCTCACAGCCTGTCTGCTTGCTGCACCACCTTGAGCTAACCGCAGATACAAAACAAAGGTGAGCAGGTTGATGGACTGCAGCAGCCGTGAACAGGAACATCACCTGCACGCCGTCAGCCAGCAGGAAGTGTGCACAAATCAGGAACGGAGGGTCCTCAGGGGCCTGAGAGCAGCACAGCTCTACCACCACCACTTCCGGGTCGCCATTGATCCCCACCTGGAAAACAAGGTGTGCGCTCAGGGAAGCAGCGAACACGCACCGCGCAGAGCACCCAGAGGTGCTGATCGGAACCACAGCGCGAGACATGATTATGAAGAGGTACAAGCAGAAAATAAAAAATACAGAGATGCAGTCACTATTAATATTCAATACGTTTCCTCTTGTGTTTATACTATAGATATTTATAAAAGAATGTGGGGAATAGAATTAAAGACACTGCAGTGAAATCCAGTTTTGAAATCCTTGCATGCATCTATGTCTGTGTTTATAGTGTGCTTTTCCTGTTTTCTCTATCACAGAAGGAATTGTTATTTTCAAATTAAATACTATTTTCAAATTTTTGGTGCTATTTTCAAATTTGATCAACTATCTCAAAAATACAAATGGAGCATCATTCTGAAGATAAGCGTGGATATTTACGTGATTTTATCAAAGAGGAGCTAATTTTATTTTTAATGCAAATGAACAGGGATTCGAAATGGCATAAATAATTAGTGTCAAACATATGCTTATAAATCCAAGGAATTGAGCAGTTGACGTTGTGGTATCATGGTGGCAATGTCAGCCTTTGAGTCTGGGACACTCTGCTTCAGGTCCAACTTCCTGCTAAGGTGGAAAATGGGCAGGACATGGTCTCTGCATCCCCTAATGGAAACCAGCATAAAGCCCTTGGCTCCTGGCCAGGGCCAGCCTCTACCACTGTGGCCCTTGGCGAGTGAATCAGTAGTTGGGCAATCTCTCTCTCTACATATCTCTGTCACATTATCTTTCAAATCTTATAAGTCTTTAAAAACTTTCTGAGAAACTAATAATGAATAGAAACTAATAATGAATAATTATTTCTGCTAATAATGAGGAGCACTTTTATTTCTTAATCCTATATGAATATTTTGTAGTATTTAAAATGTCTTGTACTAGCATGCAATGCTATGAAAGTAAAAACATTCAGAATAAAAAGCACTGAATTTTAAATGTAGGCATTTTCTTTAGCACCAAAAAATCAGTATATATATTGCAGAATGTATGATATTCAGGATATGCACAATTTTTCAAAACCAGAAAATGAACAAGAAAAATATTCAGAAAAATTCTGTTTTTCTTTTCTGAAAAAAAAAATCAGACTTACTTTTTCCAAGGTGTTATATTTTGCAACTTCAAAATCTTGAGGAAAATGAGAAATTTCAACATTCTCTACATGAAACCTAAAACAGGACAGTCACATGTTAACATTGAAGTAGACGCAGGTTAGACACAGCTTCATAATTTTTTTCTTGTACATCTCCTTGCCTAATTCTTTAAGCCTCCCATGCCTTCTTAGGAATTCTAAGTGTTTTCCTGAGTTCCTTGCCTGGACCCAACACTGAGTCCAGCACTACTCAAGAGCAGAGGCACCTGCCGCCAGCTGCCCCACTGCATGCTGTCCACTGGGCTCCTACCTAAGGCTTCTGACACGCAGGCCCGACCCGGCCCCTGCCTGGATCACAGTGAACGCCTCTGTAAAATCAGACTCAGACTTCTCCTAAATCTGCACCTTTGATTTTGGAGTTGTTCTCTTTTTAAAATTACCGATAACAAATACCCTAGCAGCATCGCGTAGTTGTTACAGACTGGGCCGCTAAGGTAACAGGTAAGCCAGCGCCCACACCTTATCACCTGTGACTTTCTCCTTTGAAAACTCAATCTCTCTAATAATTATGTCACATCTCATGAAACTGAGATGACAGAAGAAATCAGCAGTATTCTGGCTGAAGGAAAAAATATTAAATAAAAACTTAATAGAGTTAGACAAGCAAAATAGGCTGACATAACAACAGCCTAGTACTAATGCTAATAATACTGCTTGAATTTGTGAAACATAAACCCTGCAGAGTCCCAAGGTTTGAAGCTGGATTACTCGGTGGGTTCCACAGTGTCTTCTTGCTTCATGACATCATCCAGGGACAGGTCATCCGTTTCCACTTCTAGGATTAAAACAAATGAAGCATCTGTTTACTGCTCAAAAGCTTACTTGAATGAGTTAGCACAACAGATGGAATTAAGCCATTGAATAAACAGCATATCTGTCGCAATATTTAAGAGCTGTTCTTAAATTAGCTATAGCTATTGATAGTCTAAAGACAGCACAAGTGGGGATGGGTATTTGTCACAGCAATGGAGATGCCATTTGGACACTCGCATCCCATTCAGGAGTGTTGATTCTGTGTCCAAATGCAGCTTCCTGCTCCTGGCCACCCTGGGGGTGGCAGGTGATGGCTCAAGTCCCTGGGACTCAGCCTCTCATACGGGAGACTCAGACTGGTTCCAGCTCCTTGGTTCTGCCCAGCCCAGCCTTGGCTGTTCCTGGCATTGGGATCTGCCTGTCTCTCTTTCCATCTCACTGCCTTCCAAGGCCAATGAAAATAAATAAACATTTTTTTAAAAATTTCAAAAATCAAAGGGAAGAAATGTAAGACAGAGCATATAATAATTCTATTTTAATGGGTATACGAGAAGAATTCTAACATAAATCTGTATTTGTAAAATTGACATCTCTATGATTTTTGACTTGTATTTTCTCTTCTGGAGACAATGGAAAACATAGGTAGGAAATGCGTTTCTAACACTAAGGATCAGAATGCATCTGCAGGTATCCACACATCACAAGTGAAGCGATGAGAGAAATGGAAGAACTGTACTGTGAAATTTTAGATTTTTAAACATTTTTTTTTATTAATTTACTTATGTGAGAGAAACAGAGAAAGAGAGCGAATTCCCACCTGCTGGTTCATTCTCCAAGTGCCCACAACGGCCACAGCAGAGCTGAGACCAGGCTAAGTCTACATGGGTTGGGCGGGGGATGCCATTACCCACGGCCTCCAAGGGTCTACACTGACAGGAGCCAGGAACTGGAGCCAGCAATCCAACCCGAGCTCTCTGAAGCACGAAGAACAACACCTGCATTTTAACCACTGCGCTAACATCCTGCTCCCTATGCAAGTGTCTGATGGCTTTCTCATAGAAGAACCATAGCATGATCTATAGTGTTATAATGTGTACAGATAGCATCTGTATAATGTATACGGATAACATCAAGACTTTGAAGATTAGCCGGTTCTATATTAGTATTAGTGTATTAGTGCCGGTTCTGACTTAGAGTGGATTATTCTGAAGGCTGAAGCAGTTATCTCAGTGTAAACGAAGCCCACTCGCCTGCCTCTTCCTGTTTTAGCCACCATTTCCTGGGACAGCAAGCTAGCTCAACCTCTGTAGCAGCATTTTTGGACAAATGTTTGTCTAAAGAGACTTCACCTTATCAAACATGTATTATGATACCTTACATAAATCATGCGTTTCTGTAAGTCAGTATTTGTCGGAAAGGCTTAATTATTTTTTTTTTTAAGATTTGAGACACAATGAAAGAGACACACACAAAGACAAACAGAGCTCCTGAAAGTGGAGAGTCCAGAACTTAGTCCAGGTTCCCGCGGGAGCAATGGCCACATCATCTGAGCCTTCCCTGTTCTGTTCCATCCCAGTTACATCTCCAGCTGTGCTGGAGTCGGGACTGGGAGCCAGGCGTGAACCCCAGGTATTCTAACGTGGAATACAGGTGTCTTAACCTTAACAGCTAAGCCAATCACCCACCCCTTCATTTGCTGATTTTTGTACCTGATTCACAAGGTATACATTTTTCTATGTCCAAAGGCTTTCTTCTCGACAGATTCCAAAGTGCAATCTGAGATTATGGGGGAACAAAGTTTCTTTAATGTGGACCACCTTTCGGAAAGAACTTCTTTGGCAAAATGTTAGCCTTTTGTCCTTTATTATTTAGCTATAACTTCTAAAAAATTTACTTCTTAATTTAAAAAAATATTCTTTATTTATTTAGTTATTATTAGAAAGCTTTACAGAGAGGAGGAGAGACAGAAAGATCTTCCATCTACTGGTTCACTTCCCAAATGGCTGTGATGGCTGGAACTAAGCCGATCTGAAGTCAAGAGCCAGGAGGAGCTCTAGGTCTCCCATGTGGGTGCAGGGTCCCAAGGCTTTGGGCTATCCTCGACTGCCTTTTCAGGCCACAGGAAGGGAGCTGAGCAGGAGGTGGAGCAGCTAGGACACGAGCCAGTGTCCACATGGGATCCCAGGGGATGCTAGGCTAGGATTTAGCCACTAGACTACTGCACCAGGGCTAAAAGTTGATTTTTATTTATTTGAAAGGGATAAAGAAAATAAGTGTCACACACACACAGACACACACACACACACACACACACTTTCCATCTGCTGTTTCCCTCCCCAAATGGCTGTAACAGAAGGATGTGGGCCAGGCTGAAGCTGGGGACCAGGAACTGCATCTCAGAGTCCCACATGGGCAGTCCACGTTTCCTACAGCATGCCACAACACATTCTGCTTGTGATGCCTACCGGAACTCCTGGTGTTTTGATCAGGAGGCAGCGTGACGGCCAGGGCTTCGGTAGGCTCATAGTTCTTGACATCCAAGAGTCTCCTTTCTTTGATGCAGTCCCAGATGAACTCGGGACTTGCAATGTGGACGCGCTTCTTTCGGATAGAGTCCAGTTGGTACTGACTTAGGAAATCAGCATTGTCTAAGACGACATGGGTGCACTGAAAACAAAAAGTCAATCTTTATGCAGTGATCAAAAAGGAAATCTAAATAAATTATTTATGTTTACTTTTCACCCATAACAAGTCTTATTATATGATAGTTTCATGTAATAATTTTTCTCAGATTTCTAAAACCTTTAGAAAGAGTGCAATTTCTTCTTACATAACATTTTTTTTTTTTAATCCATGGTTTTTAAAGTGTTTGGACACAAATACTCACTAAGTGCTTAAACATCCCTACGAGTTATTTCTGACTTGTCACTATTGTAAGCAGTGGTCTGTGATGATGAATCTCCTTACTTACACCCCTGTCAACCTGTTCGGTTATTTCCCCCCAGGGTGGAGAGGGAAATCCAAAGATTATTCATTACTTATTCATTTTGTACTATTCATTTAGTTTTGAATACATAGCACAGGACCATTGCAGACTATCTACAAAGCGAAACAGTAATAATGGCATCTTCCATTCTCCACTGTTGTATCAGTATTCCTCAGAGGCACCTGTCGCAACTTGTCCTTCCTGGATCCTTCCAGAACTCTTCTATGCACAGACAATATTCACAGCTGAGTACACACGTGGTAGCATGCCAGCTATACAGGCCTGTAGTGGCTTGTCCACTTATCTGCAGTTCACGCCTCATCGTCACGCAGAAAGCTGTTTTCTTCTTTATAAACAGCGAGCATGCATGTTTAAAATGTTTATGTCCCACTGCAAAACGTGCACACACACACACACACACACACACACACACTGTCAAAAGACTGCACGCACAAGATGTGATAGTTTGCAAAGCCAAGAGATGGCGTTGGCAGTTCTCTGCCCACAAGGCAGACTGAGAAAGTAGAGCAACTATGCATTATTCATCCACCCGCAGAAACGGTGAACCCAGTGAGTGCGGGAAGCCTGCACAATTCTACTGCAGAGAAACATGGCCATTCCATTTCCGACACTCAGCTTGACCCATGATTCGCTGAACAGGTGAGGCTCACCGTAGGCGAGCCCTAGAGCAACGGCCTCGCAGGGGACAGGCTGGGTCAGCCCATTTCCAGACAGAGGAGCAAATCTCCGGCACAGGCGGACCTGGGGCCGGACACCTTTGGATCTCAAGTTCTACTTCTTTCAAGGAGATGTTAAAAAAAAAAAAAGATTAGCCATAAGTATTTCCAAGGCTTCATCTAACGAAGAATTTATCTAAATTCTCAGATTTACAGTTCAAGAGCGGGAAGGGAGCGTCCTTCAGTGTTTAAATAAACATTACATAGCGCTCAAGCTCCACTCCAAAGACCAGTTTACAGGGTCTGTCCATCTTTCTGTCTCCCCGGAGTTATCCTCACAAGTGTCACTCCAGGGTGGACACGTTGCTAGGTGATGACAGCGGGATTTTTGCCAATGTTGTGCACTGTGGCTTTTCTCCTCTGAGAATAATCTGTCTGAAATTCTATTTATGTCTTTGGCTGTGCTCTAGTAATTTGTCTTCAAGGACATTCTCCTGCAGCCTGGGAGGGGGGCCGGGATGGGCCCTCCTGCCTCTAACGCACTTTTGGCCCAAACAGCCAGCCAGTGGGCACTGCCACAGTTCCTCTTGCTGCCATTCTTCTCTGCTTATTCATAGAACCAAGGCTCTCATCGCCTCAATGCACCATGCTTATCATACAGTAGTTTAATTGACTTGGAAATACCTGGGGATTTAGAACGAGAGAAAACTTTCCACCGTTTTCCTTAATGTCAAACTGTAGCTTTCTCTTTTGTTGACGAGGTAAGTACTTGACTTTCAAACAGAAGGTGCAATTTGAGAAGATTCCCAAAGTCATCCTGCAGGGGACAAAAAGTTTGTTTTTAAAGATTTCTTTTAGATAAATGTAGCAACAATGAATTCAGAATTATTATACATGCGAACTGTGCGGGAAATTATTATATTTGCTAATTCTGAAAGGCAAAGACAAGAGCGGAGGGATATACAAGAGATGGAGGAGATGAGAGGCAGAGAATCTTCTACCTGCCGATTCATGTCCCAAATGGCTACAACAGTTATGGCTGGAGCAAGACAAAGCCAGGAGCCAAGAACTCGCTCCAGATCTTTTTACGAGGGTGGCAGGGATTTAAATAACTGCCATCTTCTGCTGCCTCCCAGGCACACTGCAGGAAAGCCGACTGGAAGCAGTTAAGGCACTTGGCGCCAAGCACTCCGACGTGGGGAGTAGATGTCCCACGAAGCCAGCATCACCTGCTGGGCCAAAATGTCCGCTCGTCTCTTTTAGACATCTTGATGATAGCCAGTCTTAATTTTTTTTTTTAAATAATCTTACTTAGTTGATTAGGGTACAAAGGGTCAAGGGATGCAGGAAAGTGGGTAATAACCATTGTTTCCACACAAATATCATTTTTTTCCCCTCTATCTGGGGTCAGGGGAGAAACAGAGGAAAGAGTCCCACCCAGCCTCCAGCCCATCCCAGGTCCCCTACATGAGGCATGATCTGAGGGTCCTGTTTAAGCTGTTTTGATAGTTCAACAGTTCTGAATTGCTGCCAATCTAGCCGCTCCAAGCGCAATGAAATCTCTTCAGAATCCACTGGCTGACACAGTCTCTTCATGGTTGGGGTTCTGAGATCAGCAGTTCAGTTGGAGGGATCTCCAAAGAAACTTCATCTGAGATGATCCCAGACCTGATTCTTGTGTGAGTTTGCCAGTACAGGGTCTGGCACAGTCCATCGCCCCAATCAGCTTATGCACGTGATGATCGTTGCAATTGCTGGGTCAGTTCTGTTTTCAGCCCTGTCTTCCACACAAACCAATGGGTGTTGCAGTCCAGCCCGATCCTGCCCACTTCACACTCAGCCCTCAGGCAAACCAGTGGGAGCTGCAGCCTAGTTGGGGCAACTCCCCATAACCCCCATCAAGCCTGTCCCTTACCCTGGTTCCCATTAATGCCAGTGTATAACACAGAGTTGTTCAGTCTGTCCCACATCCCATTTAGCTCTCGTACTTGTCAATGGGCATTGAAGCCTAGTTCAACCCAACCAACCTACTATCCAGCCCACACACATGCTGGTGGGTGCCTTTCTGTCTAGCCACCCTGCCCCTGTCCTGGTTTTTATGCTCTCCAGTGGGAGTGGTAACTCAAGAGGTCGGTGCCCACTTTTTCCCTAATGGACCACTCCCACTCCTGGATTATGCACTCTCCAGGTGGTTCTGGAGTTTAACTTGACAGAATTAGCCCCCAGTGCCAGCCTCTGCCAGCTGATGCTGCAGCAAAGCCCAACCAACCCTCACCCACTCTAATTTTTGCTTGCACCAGTTGGAACAGTCAGCCCAACCTGGCCCTTCCCTGATCTAGCTCACATGAGGCCCACAGGTGTTGTAGCCCTGCCTGGCCTGGAGAAGAAGAAGAAGAAGAGGAGGAGGAGAAGGAGAGGAGGAAGAAGAAGTTTGCTTATCTGAGAGGCCGAGAGAAACCTCCCATCTGCTGCAGGTTCACTTCCCAGAAACCATCAACATGCAGGAATTGACTCACAAGTGGGTGGCAAGAGGCCCAATACATTGAGTCATCTGACTCTAGCAGGAATTTAGAATCAGAAGAGTTAGGCTTCAAATCCAGGTCCCGCAGGGCTGGGAACACAGCTCTCCAGCCACAGGGCTCCGGGATTCACCTCCCCTCTACCACTCCTCCCCTTCCTGCCTCCATCCCCTGTCTCTGAGCCCACTGGTATCCTCCTGCTTCTGAGGCCACCCAGTCCTTTCTTACCTTGGTCATGAAGAGCTGTGGCACCCCTTCCCATGCTCCCAGCCTCCCAGCCATGCCGCAGCTCCACCCCTAGCATCTCCATGCCCTGTCACCGTCACCCAGAGGTCCACATTCCCATGGCTTAGCGCCGTCCTGCTGGCTTCTTAAGCTGCTTCAGCGATCCTTAATATCCCCCTAGGTGTTCTCTGCTGGCTTCGTCTCCAGCCACCACCACCACCACCCCAAACAGCCCCAGTTGGTGTGTCCATGTGGCTCATTTTCCTATCACTGAGTTCTGACTGGCCTGGGCTTCTGAAGCTCAAAAAATCTTGTTCTCTGAAACTTAACATCAAAGAGAGTTTAAATTCTTGTTTGAGGTTGTCTCCAGCATCCACCTGCCCTGCACTTGGTCCCCAACTCTGTCCACTGTAGCTTTGTCTTCAAGGCTAGTCCTCAGACCTGCACACGGATCCCTGCAGTATCCATTCCGTGCAGCCCACCAGGGAACTGGCAGGAGCCCACTGCCCCAACTTCCTGCCAGTGAGAACTTGCCCGTGTCATCCAATGCTCTGGGCTGTAGAAGCTATGCTTATTTCATTCTGCACTGCATCACCAGGTATGTAGTGACATTGTTCTCCTGGTACACACATTAATCCATAGCTAGACACAGCGGCATTCTACACAAAATTTCTGGGATCCAGTCCTAGCTCCTCCACTTTGAACCGGCTCACAGCTAAAGCGCATGCAAAGGCAGTAGATGAAGACCTAAGTGTTTGGGTTCTGTGGCAGTTGACAGAAAGCAAGGTTTGGACCTGGCGGCGTGGCCTAGTGGCTAAGGTCCTCGCCTTGTACGTGCCTGGGATCCCCTATGGGCGCCGGATCTAATCCCGGCTGCTCCACTTCCCATCCAGCTCCCTGCTTGTGGCCTGGGAAAGCAGTCGAGGACAGCCCAAAGCCTTGGGACCCTGCACCCACGTGGGAGACCCGGAAGAGTCTCCTGGCTTTGGATCGGCATAGCATCGGCCGTTGTGCTCACTTGGGGAGTGAATCATCGGACGGGAGATCTTCCTCTCTGTCTCTCCTCTCTGTATATCCGCCTTTCCAATAAAAACATAATAAAAATAAAATCTTAAAATAAATAATTTTTTTTTAAAGGCAAGCAAAAAGAGCCTGGTAAAATGGCTCAACTGGCTAATCCTCCACCTCCAAGCGCCAGCGTTCAATATAGGTATGGGTTCATGCCCCAGCTGCTCCATTTCCCATCCAGCTCCCTGCCTGTGGCCTGGGAAAGCAGTAGAGGATGTCTCAAAGTCTTGGGACCCTGCACCTATGTGGGAGACCTAGAAGAATTTCCTTGCTCCTGATTTTGGATTGGCTCAGCTTCAGCTGGTGCGGCCACTTAGGGAGTGAACTAGCAGATGAAAAATCTTTTTCTCTGTCCCTCCTTCTCTCTGTCTTTCCAACAACATTAAAAAAAAATTAGCAAAGAAAAACCATTCACTATTACATATACACCATGAGGATAACGTTTTTTGCCTACATTTCTGACCAAATGTGTCATTGTTTCCCAGAATTGGCTCTAAATGACCAGAGGTGATGGAATTAAGGAATCATAAAGAACTTGCATTTTTCAGTCTTTACTTTCATTACGCTAGAGTCTAGCTCTCCACCACACTTCAGCACTGCGTGGCTCAGAGGCACCGAGCACCTCCAGGCCGCCCGCTTACGTGCAGACCCCTGCCCAGTTCCTGGCACCTGATGTTGCCAGGAGGCCGAAAGGCAAACCTTTGATTTGTAATATCTCAGGTCGGGACTGCAATCTTTTCGGTTCCACATGGCAAGCCTGGCCTCCCAGTTCTAGTCACAGTCCTTCCACAGCGGGGCGCGCAGCCTCCTCGTGCGGTCCAGGCCTCCTCTAGAAGGAGCCAGAGCCAACTCGGGATCCGCGGACGGGTTATGCAGGCGTGCAGAAGCTCGGGTCTGCCCCCGGCGCCACCCCAGAGCCTCGCACGGCCCTCCCTCCCCCGCGAGCTTCTCCGCCCGCGGATCCTGGGCAGAGCCGCGGCTGCAGGTTTCCGGACTCTCGGGAAGTCCCTGGCCGTCCCCGCCCAGGAAGATCTCCCCGACTCGCCGCACACTTCTCCCTGCTGTCGCGGTTGTCCCCCCCAGGGCCGACGCTACGTCGGGTGGCGCGGAGGGGATGCTGAGTGGCCCATCTTCCAGGCCTAGAATCCAGCTCACTTCGGATGCCTGGCGTACTTAATGAAATCTGTGCGCACCAGCGAAAGCGCACCTGCACCTTCCAACGCAAACTCTACCCACACGACCTCCCCATTAGGACCACTAAGCGCCTAAAAAAGCTAAGGCTGTTGTTGCCACAGCTACTCCCATAGCACACAGTAGCGCCCCTGGTTTCCCGGAGCTGAGCTGGCCGTCTGGACCCCCGACTCCTCAGGGGAGGGGTGTCATGTCACTGCTGGGTGGATTCTCCATGGCTCTTCTGGTGAAGATATTTCCCGATTGTTCATCAAGAGACTGCTCATTCAACAGGTCCCCCCCCCCCCAAAGCCTAACTTGCAAAGCAGACTGGACACTGGGCACCCAGCAAAGGAGAAACACCGCGTCCTACTGCGTCTTGCTCAGTTCGCGGACACATCAGGGATCTGGGGACTCGAGTCAGCCTCCAGGTGCGATGGGGACCCTCGATCCGCCCTGCATCCGGCAGCTGCCACCCTGCTGAGTCCGGGCCTGGCGTAGCTAGCAGCCCAAAGCAACTGGTGCGCCACCACATCGGCCCAGTGTCGGTCAAAGCTACAGGGAATCCAGGCCCGGGACACCCGGCGGCTCCCACGCACCTGCCAGATTCGCTCCCGGCGTCCCCCAAGTCAGGCGCTGGCTGCTGGAGCCGACGTTTCCGGATTCTGGGCTGTCGGGGCTGCAGACGCCGTCCTGGGGCGCGGCCGGCGGGCGGGGCGAAGCGTGCGCCCCTGCACCCCGCCTGGCTGCGCGCTGCCCCGGCGCTCCTAGCGGGAACTGCCGCTGGTCAGTTCCCGGAAGAACTCGGGACCCGGTCCAGGACTTCACCATCAGCCGGGCTGTCCAACGACTTCTTTTCATTTAGCTGAGACGGAGAGCGCCATTTAACTGAGAAGTCAGGGAGAATTTCCAGAGGCAGAAAAGCAGCAAAATTTGTGAGGGTTTGGGATCAGAGACTTTCTGAGTTGAAGTTTGTGACAGTACTTGTAGGTATTCCTGTAAATGTGTGGATTCAACCGCAGGGAGTGAACAGATAGAACAGAGAATACGGCGGGGAGGGCGTGGCTTTGAATACTGCCTCGGTCCTGTTTTACGGGGACCTTACCTGGGGGTTCCACCTTTACGACCTACTTTATGACGTTACATGAGAACCCTTTAGGTGCTATTAGTGATAACAGTGGGGGATTTGGGATCTATTCTTCTCTGGAAACAAGAAACACCTGGCACAATTTTATGACAACCCAGAGGTTTAAAAAAAAAAATACAGCGAACAAGGAAGTGCTTAACTAGGAGAAAGGTAGATCTTTTATGGAGTTTTAACTTACCCTAGCTCCGTTCGCCCAGTCAGTCATCATTCCTGGCGTGCACGCCTCACTCCAGAGGCAGTAGACTTTGCCCAAAGGTGCTTGTTCCAGTTCTCTCTCTGAGGGTTCCCGGGGGAGCTGGCACAGGGGTTTGCTACTTCAGAACTTTCAGGAAAGCACCTAAAAGGGAGAGTTCCTTTAAAACACTAAAAGGGAAACAAGTGCATCTGCTACCAGGAGCAAAGCCCAGACCTGCCAACATCTTGGGAGAAAATCCAGGGGAGAGGTTTTTGGAGATGTTTTTGGAGGAGTTTTGAAATGCTCATTTTTACCAGTGTGGCTGGGTTCAAGTCCCGCCTAGGTCCCTGACTACTTGGTATTCTGTTACGCATACAGGAGACCCGGAGCAAGTTACCAACCTTGGACTTAAGTCTGACACAGTCCTGGCTATTTCAGACACTTGTGCAGTGAATCAATGCATGGCAGATCCTTGCTTGTCTTTCTCTTTTTGCCTTTTAGGTACACGTAAAAAAATTTTTTTTTTAATGTTCCCTTTAAACTGAGGCATCTAGGGGGCCTGGCTCAATTGGCTAATCCTCCCCATGCAAGCGTGGAGATCTCAAATGGGTGATGGTTCCTGTAACAGCTGCTCCACTTTCCATCCAACCCCTTGCTTGTAGCCTGGACAAGCAGGAGAGGACAGCCCAAAGCCTGACCTTGCCAGCTGCGTGGGAGATCCAGAAGAGGCTCTAAACTCCTGCCTTCAGCTCAACTCAGCTCTAGCCATTGCACCCATCTAGTGAGTGAACCAGACAATGGAAAAGCTTTCTCTGTCTCTCCTTCTTGTAAATCTGCCTTTCCAATAAAAATTTTAAAATCTTAAAAAAAAAATAAATGAGGGATATAGAAAGCTACATGCAACGCTAAGGGCAAAAGGCTCATTGATGGAAACATTGATTTTACCTGTGTCTGGTTTAATGCTCAGAGCAAGCAGGAAGTGAGAGCCAAAGCACCAGTTGTACAAAGGTGTTTTGAAAAGTTCGTGGGGGCCCTGTGCGGTGGCCTAGCGAGCAGCTGGAGTGCTTGCCTCGCACATGCCAAGATCCCATATGGGTGCCGGTTCATGTCCTGGCTGCTCCACTTTCCAATCCAGCTCCCTGCTGTGGCCTGGGAAGGCAGTTGAGGACTGCCCAAGGCCTTGGGACCTACACCCGTGTGGGAGACCTGGGAAAAGCTCCTGGCTCCTGGCTTTGGATCAGCTCAGCTCCAGCCATTGTGGTCACTTGGGGAGTAAATCATCGGACGGAAGATCTTCCTCTCTGTCTTTCCTCCTCTCTGTATATCTGTCTTTCCAATAAAAATAAATAAATCTTAAAAAAAAGAAAGAAAAATTCATGGAAAGGGCTTGGAGCAATGACTCAGTGGCTGAATACTCAACTTGCACATACCAGGATCCCATATGGGCGCTGGTTCGTATCCTGGCAGCTCCACTTTCCATCCAGTTCCCTGCTTATGGCCTGGGAAAGCAGTACAGGGCAGCCCAAAACCTTGGGACCCTGCACCCATGTGGGAGACCCAGAAGAAGCTCCTGGCTCCAGGCTTCGGATCAGCTCAGCTCTGGCCATTGTGGTCACTTGGGAAGTGAATCAGCTGATAGAAGATCTCTCTATCTCTCCTTTTACCTGTAAATCTGCCTTTCCCATAAAGATCAACAAAAGTTTTAAGTTCATGGAAAATGGAATTGAAATATAAGTTTAGGGACAGGTGATTAACCTATTGGGAATGCCCATACCCCCATAGCAGAGTGCCTGGTTCAAATCCCAACCGCTCAACTTCCCGCTCATCTTCCAATTGATGTGTTGATGTGCAACCTCAGAGGCAGCGAGTGATGGTGTGAGAGCTTGGCACCCATACGGGATGCTGGTGTCGCGGGAACAGGCTTAGCCCCATAGGCCACAGTACTGGCATCCATGTGTGTGTTGAGATTTGAGAGGCAGAACAATGCACACACAGATGTAGAATGAGGTTAGTCTCCCACTCGCTGGTTCGTTTCCCAGGTGGCTGCCATAGCCACTTCTAACAACTCAGCTGCCTGTCTCACACCAGAGTGCCTGGGGTTGGTTTCCAAGTGTGTAGTCCTACTCCATCTACTGCTCTGCTTCTCCTATCTAAGATCTATTTCTTTATTTATTAAAGATTTATTTATTTATTACAAAGTCAGATATACAGAGAGGAGGAGAGACAGAGAGGAAGATCTTCCGTCCGATGATTTACTCCCCAAGTGAGCGCAACGGCCAGTGCTGCGCCGATCCGAAGCCAGGAGCCAGGAACTTCTTCTGGGTATCCCACACGGGTGCAGGGTCCTAGGGCTTTGGGCCGTCCTCGACTGCTTTCCCAGGCCACAAGCAGGAAGCTGGATGGGAAGTGGAGCTGCCGGGATTAGAACCGGCGCCCATATGGGATCCCGGGCGTTCAAAGCAAGGACTTCAGCCGCTAGGCCATGCTGCCAGGCCCAGATCTATTTATTTTTATTGGATAGTCAGATTTACAGAAAGAGAGACGCTAAAAATCTTCCATCTGCTGGTTCATTCTCTAAATGGCTGTAGTGGCTGAACTTGAACTGATCCAAAGCCAGGATCTTTTGCTGGCTCTCCCACATGGGTGTAGGGTCTCAAGGCTTTGGGCTGTCCTCTGCTGCTTTTCCAGGCCACAAGCAGGGAGCTAGATGGGAGGTGAAACAGCCAGGACACAAACTGGTGCCATATGGGATCCCAATGCTTGGAGGTGGAGGATTAGCCAGTTGAGCCACTGCACTGAGCCCCTAACTACAGCTTCTGATCAGTCCAGTGACAGCTGGAGTTACTGGACTCCAACCTCCCATGTGGAGACCTGTGTCGCATTCCTGAGTCTCAGCTCTGGCCTCTGCTACAACCATTGTAGGCATTTGCGAAGTAAACCAGTGATTGGAGCTTTATCTCCTATTACAAGAATTTTATTTGCTTTTGAGAAAAAGAAACCTTAAATATTTATTTAATAGGGAGAGAAAAAAAAAGGAGAGAGAGAGACAGGGAGAGAGAGAGAAAGAAGGAGAGGAGAAAGCTCTTCTTTTGACTGGTTCATTCCTGGAATGGCTCTGATGGCCAAGGCTGGCCGAGCCACGTCAGGAAGTCCACCCAGGTCTTCTGCATGGATGGTAGGGGTCCAAACACGAGGACCATCTTCAGGAATGTGCCTTATATCATAGACCTTTGTCCCTTTTGAGATTGGCCTATTGCACTGAGTGTAACAGTCTCCACTTGGGATGGTTTTACTGCAAATAATAGAATTTCATTATTTTTTTTAAAAAGATTTACTTATTTTTTATTTGAAAGTCATGTTTACAGAGAGAAGGAGAGACAGAAAGATCTCCCATCTGCTGGTTCACTCCCCAAGTAGCCACAATGGCTGAAGCTGAGCCAATCCAAAGCCGGGAGCCTGGAACCTTTTCTTGGTCTCCCACGCAGGTGCAGGATCCCAAGGCTCTGGGCCATCCTTTACTATTTTCCCAGGCCACAAGCAGGGAGCTTGAGGGGAAGTAAAGCATTTGGGCACATATGGGATCCTGGCACAAGGAAGGGTTTAGCCACCTGGTTATACGCAGGGCCCTAGGATTTAATTCTTTCTGATGGCTGAGTGGCATACCATGGTGTAGAAGTTGTACCACAGTTTCTTTGCCCATTCCTGTGTAGTTGGACATCTGGGTTAGTTCCATGTCTTCACTATTGTGGATTGCACTGTTATAAATATAGGGTTTCACGTCACTTTCTCATATTCTCATATGCAGATTTCACTTCCTTTGGGTATATTCCTAGGAGTAGCTGGGTCATAGACATCCATTTTCAGTTGTCTGTATATTTTTCTTCTTCCAGATTTATTTTTATTGCAAAGTTAGATATATATAGAGAGGGGGAGAGACGCAGAGAAATATCTTCCACTGGTTCACTGCCCAAGTGACTGCAACGGCAGGTGCTGAGCCAATCTGAAGCCTGGAGCCAGGAGCTCTTCCGGATCTCCCACGCGGGTGCAGGGTCCTAAGGCCTGGGCTGTCCTTGACTGCTTTCCCAGGCCGCAGGCAGGGAGCTGGATGGGAAGCGGGGCTGCTGGGATTAGAACCGGCACCCGTATGGGATCCCAGCGAGCCACTAGGCCACAGCGCAAGGCCAATTATCTGCATACTTTTCAGACTGACATCCATAGTTGCTGCACTGGCTTACACTCCAACTTTAACGTAATCTTTATCATTCTATTTAGTAGGCGTCATTACAACCATATTTTGCAGATAAAATTAGATTCAGAAAGGTAGAGTACTAAAG